CTGATACTTTACAACAAAACTTGAAAAGTAATGTGGATCCTGGTTCTTATTTATTGGATGTTAAAATAAATGACACATTTGTACTGGAAACTACAAACGTATTAGAACTTAATGAAATCTTTAGAGGAAACCACTATATCTCTGAAAGATTTAACTACGCTTGAAGTGCTAGACAACGAAACCACAGCCAAGACCTTTGCAGAACAATTTAACAAAGCCTTTTCACAGGAAACCTTTGCAATGCCACCACTCCCTGTTTGCACTAGAGCCCAAAACTCAATTGATACAATGCACTTTACCGAGGAAAAAGTGAGTGGCGCATTAAAGAGAATGAAAACAGACTCAAGCCCAGGACCAGACAACATACCAACGATCTTCCTAAAAAATTGCAGCAATTCATTAAGCTCACATCTGGCAGAAGTGATGAATGAATGTATGGAAACCGGTGCTATCCCTAAGGAGTGGAAACAATCAATAGTAACACCAATTTTTAAAAAAGGAGATAGGCACAAACCAGAAAATTATCGTCCAGTCAGCTTAACATGTAACCCACTGAAGTGCATGGAAAAAATCATTGTTGAGGAACTAACAGCCTTTTTCCAAACTAATGATCTTATTCCCACATCCCAACATGGTTTTCTTCCAAGGCGCTCCACAACCACAAATTTGCTAGAATGCCTAGACGATTGGACAGCAAACCACGATAAATCGCAGCCTACTGATGTGGTGTATCTTGACTATGAAAAGGCGTTTGACAAAGTCCCACATAACTTACTTATTGGCAAATTAGAGCACTTTGGAGTACGAGGACAGCTGCTAACGTTAATAGCAGATTCACTTAATGAAAGACACTACAAAGTCAGAGCTAATGGAGTATTGTCCAACCGGCATCCAGTGAGCAGCGGAGTTGTCCAGGGCTCGGTCCTGGGACCTTTACTCTTTACTGTTTACCTCTTCGATTTGGTTGACATCATACAGTGTCCAATGAAAAACTTTGCAGACGATGGAAAACTGTACATTAATCCACTTATTGGTGCCCATTTACTTAAAACAGGCCTAGAAAATATTGAAAGCTGGTCCAGAACATGGGGGATGAAGCTAAACGCATCAAAATGTACAGTGCTTCGAATTGGGCCAAACAATCCAAACACACAGTATACTCTTAATAACACGACCCTCACATCAGTGAAAGAACAGAATGATCTAGGAGTCATTATAACATCTGATCTGAAATGGGAGACACATATAAAGAAAATAACGAAAAAAGCAAACTCTTTTGTATATCTCATAAAGCAAGCTTTTAGGGACCATTCAGTGGAAATGATAACGAAGCTGTACAAAAGTTACATAAGGCCAAAAGTTGAATATGCATTTACTGTGTGGAATCCCTATTATATAAAGGACATTGAACTCCTAGAAAGGGTTCAGAGAAGAGTTACAAAAATTCCTCTAGAACTTAGGTCCTTACCATATACAGAAAGGTTAGAAAGGCTCAATCTTACAACCCTTAGAGAGAGGAGACACAGGGGAGATCTAATAGAGACGTTTAAAATAACTAACGGCCACTATCAGTGCAATATTAAAAACCTTTTTCATCCAAGTCAAAATAACCAGCTTAGAGGCCATTCTAAAAAACTAGAGAAAGAAAAGACATCGAAAATGGTAAGAAGAAACTTCTTAGTGAATCGTGTTGTGTACTCCTGGAACGCTCTACAGGAAGAAACAATTTCCGTCGTTTCTATTAATGCATTTAAGAACAAAGTGGACTCTGAATTGAAACAGGACTTTAATAGGATGGTTCATTATGGTGTATAAACAGAAACAAACTCTCATATCAAAAGACACAATAGCTTCATCGGTTTCACCGCCTGCTATTGGTTAATTATAGAATTATTATAGAATTATAGAATAAAAAACAATAAATCCAGTGGGCACGATAATGTTTCATTAAATTTGCTTAGAAACTTGCCTGATAATGCATTATATGTCTTGTCTGAATGTATTAATATTTCATTTTTAACAGGAGTATTTCCAGACTGCCTGAAAAAAGCTATTGTGTTGCCTGTTTATAAGGGTGGCGATTTGGACAACCCATGTAATTATCGACCAATATCACTTCTCTCGACGTTGTCAAAAATAGTTGAAAAGTTAGTTAAAGAAAGAATGTTGAAATATTTTTCAAAACACAACATAATAAGTGACACTCAATTTGGATTCCAACCATTAAAGGGCACCCATGATGCAATGTTTAATCTTTTGGAACAGGTATTCGTCAGTCTTAATGAAAGTGAGCTTGTCTCCGTTGTGTTTTGTGATTTCTCTAAAGCCTTTGATTGCGTAAATCATAAAATAATGCTTAAAAAACTAGAAATTTATGGCTTCGGAGGAATCTCATACTCATGGTTTGAATCTTATTTCTTGGGAAGAGAACAATTTGTTAAGATTGGTGATACTCAGTCATCAAACTTGGCTGTGACCAATGGTGTCCCACAAGGATCTGTGTTGGGACCAATATTGTTTTTACTTTATTTAAATGATATTAATCACCTCCCCATTAGAGCTAAAATAACATCATTCGCTGATGACATTACTCTGTCCTGGAACGGAAAAAATATTGAAGAGTTGAAAAAGATTATTTCTGAAGACCTAAATCTTGTAAAGAGCTGGTGTGACTCTAACTTGCTTTGTTTTAACTCTAAGAAAACCAACATATTGACATTTAAATTTTTTTTTGATGATTTATTATTAGACACACACACAATTGAAAATAAAACTAGCTGTAAATTTCTTGGTGTTCATGTTGATACTCAACTTAAGTTTAATGAGCACGTTACAAATCTAAACAAACGATTGGCAAGTGGTTGCTATGCTGTAAGAATAGCGTCAAATGAACTTGGTTTGAATACTGCTAAGTTGGTTTATTTCTCGTTGGTTGAATCTCATATCAGGTATGGCATTGCATTTTGGGGTAACTGTTCTAATAAATTGTTTGATTCTGTTTTTGTCATTCAAAAGAGAGCAGTGCGCTATTTGTGTAAGGTTGGATATTGGGAGCATTGCAAGCCACTATTTTTAAAACATAAAATACTTATAGTGTGCTGTATATTTATCATGGAAACTGCTTGCCTTATGCACAAAAAATATTATGATGAGTTAGAATATCCAAGAACTTATCCAACTAGGCAACTTCTTAAAATTCAGCTTCCTATACCCAAGACTGCATTGGCGCAAAATTCACTAATTTATAAAAGTAGGCAAATTTTTAATCATCTGCCTGTTAACTTAAGGCAGATAGGTGGTTTTAAAAAGTTTAGACTAGAGCTCAAAACATTTTTACATGGAAAAGCCTACTATCATATTAATGAATTTTTAAATGAAAAATTTTAATTTTGTTTGTTTCATTGTTTTGTTTTGTTCTGACCGCAACCTTTATGTTTTTTCTGTATTGGCTGTACCTTCTATATGACTCTATAGTTTGATGTAGTAAAAATTGTACATGTGTTGCTTAGATTATGCTTTGACATTTATGTTTATGTTTATTTTTTATTTTATTGATTGTACCTCTTTTTGTTTTTTTATAACCCGATAATTTTTAATTACTTGCACATTATTTAAGATCATGCTTTGTCAATGAAATTTATTTTTCCGACAATAAAGTATATTTTGATTGATTGATTGATTGATTGATTTTTTCTGCGATCGATTAAATACCTGTTAAATGTTTGTCTTTTAGTTCCAATTATTAAGCAATACGAGAATCACTTTCCCGGCCTAGGCCGGAAAAGTGTTTCCCGTATTGTTATTCATTGATTCCTTAGCAACTATTGAAATATAATTAAAATACCAGAATATTGAGTTTTGCGACCTGTCAACCAGTCAAAAATGCTGACATTTCTTGTCAATCGCAGAAAAATACAATTTTGTCTATGGTTTATTTTTTTCCAAGATAGATTTTGGCATTGTCAATTTTGAAACATAAACAATGCCACTAATGCCGCTTATTGGTAGCTATTGTGAAACTGATGTCAACCTGCAGAAACACCTCATTTTGCGACCAATTAGGGTCAAGCGTTATTGTTTATGTTTCAAAGTTTTCAATGTCAAAATCTATCTTGGGAAAAAATAAAGTATAGTTAAGTAAACACAAAAACTTTGAAAAAACACAAAAACTATCATAATAACCATAACAGCCTAAAAAATAGACATTTTCAAAAACTCGGGGAAATAAAACACAAAAAAAAATTAATAATAGTAAGTGAAGGCATCCAAGAAAGAGGGCTTTGCTTCATAATAATTAAAAGTTATCAAAAATATTAAAAACATTAGGAAAGAGAGGAAAGCTTTATTTTGATAAATACCCGGGTAGTCACATGATATTAATGATTGTTTTCACTAATAGATAAATGATTTTATTACCGGGTCCAAAAAAAAAAGCAAATAACTTTTGAAGAAATGAGTTTTGTTTATCCTTAATCAAATTTTGTTCTAGAAGAATATTTTTGGATAAGGATAAGAGAGATGATGTGAAAAATGTAATTAGGTAAGTATTTATAAAACAAGACCAAGGACATTTGTAAGATTTGTAAACTGTGTAATTATGTACCTTAAAATTGGAAAAGAGAAAATAGATTTTAGCCTACTGTATCATAATATAGACCTTTCAATAAAAAGCTAGTGAAAAATCAAAACAACCCTTGCAAAATACAACTAAAGATTTTCCTTTCAAAAACATAAATAATTCTGGCTTATGAAATTGACTTAATTATGATGGTTTAAATCTTGATGGAAGATTTATTTTTGAGTAGGTAAGTATATTTTAAAAGAAGAGTCAAAGGTGAAAATCACAAAATTGATAAAAATCCTGGTATTCCTTCCTGCCTGCCTGCATGGTGAGGTGACCTCTGGATAAGGCTAGTATAATATATAAAACCCCAAAAATACTTAATACAATTGAAATTAAAAAAAATACTCCCAAGTATAATTTAAAACATTATACTCACTTCTCATTTATAACAGTTTTTGTATCTGAAAACTTATAAATAATGATGGCTTCATTGAAAAATGTGTTGTCTGTGTGTGGAGAAGGGTCCTACAGAGGCACTTTATCGTCACGAAAACACACGGCGACGGCTTTATTTTGCATCGAATCGATCCTTAAAACCGTAAAGTTCAAATCTACAATGTCGAATCGATAAGGAAATTACATTTTGCGGGCTTACGAGGCGAATAATCCACTAAACTTTTGCTAAGCCCAAACTTGTGACGCCATTTTAGACTTGGGAGAATTTTAACAATACAATAGCGCGCGCCATCTTTTGGGGGATTCCGGTTCGGTGGCGCGATTTTTGAATTAAATCTATTGTTTTTGAGTTTTATTAATTAAATTTATATTTGTTAATAATTAGACTAATTAATAATCGGTTTAATATTTTTTTAAGTAATTTTCAAGCTGATTATGTTTAGAATAAGAATTCATTAATAATTAGTTGACCTAAATTTTTTGAAAAAAAAAGGGTTTAATATTTATATAAAAAAAAAACATTATTAACATTTTTCTAATATTAAATAAAATTACCCTTAAAAATTGTCTACCTCTATTTTGGAGATTGTATAGAAATCGGAATGCATCGGACAGGGACGTATTCAGGAGACGATGTGAAATATTTTGTTTCAGCTTAATGGCATAATCACATTGATAGGGGATTATATACTAGCAATTTGAATTAAAAAAAAAAAGAGCTTTTATATTCATTATACAATATATATTAATATCAATTTCATATCAGAGAATCCATTTCAAATTTTTTGCTCTTCAACTCATTATTAGAGCTAAAATTTCGACAATTTGAAAAGTTCAGAACTCAGAACTCTTAAAATTACTTGTAATGTAGTTTCAACAGCAATACAGAACAGTTTAAAGCTTTGAATACGTTTTAGAACTATTCTGGGAGTAACTTCAGATAACTTAGAATCAACTCTAAAAACTCTCAATTTAGTTTAAAAGAAATTCTTTTAAAATCTGTGCGAATGCCTTTTTGAATTCTTTGAAAGTTGCTTGGACACTTTTTAAATTGCTCTCAACTCATTAGAACTAGAATTATTGTCGTTCTGCACTAAATAACGGCATTTTTCCAAAATATTTGTTGGATGAGCTATTAATTCCTGCAAAAAGCCTTTAACCTCTAACTATTCAAAACTCACTTTCCAAGAAGAAAATGGAGCAAATAACAATAACTTCTGCTCCAATTTGAAGAAGCTCATCTTCTTGATTAGCAGTTTTCCTCAATTTTTTTGGTATCTGGAAGTTAGGAACTACTTTAATTGAAAAGTTGAAAGCATTAATTTTTAATCTTCAGAATTCCAAAAGGCAAAAATCATCCCCTCCCAAAGTCTTTGTACTTGGAAGCCTTTTAAATTCCTATGAAACTCTTTCACGCCCCTCAATTACTCAAAATGCAATTTCTACAGTAAATATTTATTTATTTTTTATTCTAATTAAGCCATCACAAAAATCTTTTTATGTAGAAAATGAATTTATTCGAACGCCCTTTGGATTAAAAATGCCCTCGCAACATTCCATAATGGATGACGTGCCGGATCTCTACTAAAATTCGTAGATTTGCTTCTTATTTTTCATGGAGATTAAGGAAAATTTAATTTTTGATCCAAATTTTAATTATTATTGGCTCTTGAGATGTTGGGTATTGATTTAAGAGGCCCTCAAGAGCCGATAATAGTTCAAAATTTGATTAGTACTCCCTCTTGATTTGTCAGAAATGTTTCCTAGTGTTCTAATGCTGATTTGTTAGAAATTATTTTTCTATTAGCGTTTCCAATTGGCAGATTCAGTGCGCACCGAGTGTATTTGCATCCTTTTCATCGACCTGTAGAAGAAAAAGACAGAAATAGAAAAAATTGCACTATAGTTCCAATAGATCTACCAATCGGAAACGCCATATGACTATTCAATAATATGCGTATTATATATCCACTTTCTATTGATTAATGTGAGTGATTACTACAGTGAGTTTTTTTTTTTCATTACTCAATTATTAAAAAACCAGCGAAAAAATCTAACTTTAACTTTGTCATCCAGCGGTCAAAATAGTCAATTAATTTTGTAACGAAAATGAAATAAAATATTGCATAATTCGTATCTATTATTTATTAATCATAGAAAAAGTATAGTATTCTACTCGCGGGTAATGGCTATTACTCACTCGGATTTTTACACTACTCGCCTGCGGCTCGTAGTGTAAACTTCATCCTCATCATCAGTAATAGCCATCATTACCAGCCAGAGCTAGGATCGTTACTTGAAAAAAGTAACGCGTTACTTTTGCTTAAAAATAACTCGTTACTTAAAATTTAAAGTTACTTTCGAATAATGATAACTTTATTTTCGTTACTTATTGGAAAGTAACGCGTTACTGTAACTTCTTTACTTTGAAAGTAACTTCTTTACTTTAAAAGTAGTTCGTTACTTTTAAAGTAACGCGTTACTTCAAAAATAACTAATTACGTCGAAAATTGCGTTATTCCTTAATTTGACTCACCTACACAGCAGTCCAAACAATCAAATAAGACCTATACGAAATGCCAATATGTTTTTAGTTTGTGAGTCCGACTATGTGGAAGAGTATTCTTGCAAAATTCAAACGGATTAAGGATTAAGCGACTGAATAGAGCACTTGGTTTTGGACAAACCTACTCTTTGAAGCGTCCCAGTGTCTGCATATAATGTCTTTAGAGCAGAGGCGGCACGTGGCACGCCCAAAAACGATTATTTTGAGCTTTCAAAACAAATTTTCTGTACTACCAACATTTTATTTGACATACAAAGTTTTTGAATTACTTATTTTCCTTTTCTTCACTCGTTAATTATTTGTGAAGAAGATAAACAAATTGAGAGAACGTGATACTTTCATAGTACCTAATTAGTAACGCGTTACTTCCAACGTTACTTCAGAAAAGTAACGTCGTTACAGTTACTTATCAATCAATCTGAAAAGTAACGAAGTTACCAAGTAACGCGTTACTTTCAGTAATTCGTTAAAGTAAAGTAACTTTTTTTTGTCGTTACTCCCAGCTCTGTTACCAGCTCGTTAAATAATATACTATTTCAGTCCACATCTGAAGCTTTCTGAGCGCGCGTCAGCTTTTGACAGTCGTCAGTCAATCGTTTTATATAAAGTCAATCTGAAGTCAAATGTGAAAGAAATTTGTCATTTTTCGTGGCAAAGTCTATTAGCGCTTCCGATTGATAGATTTATTGCGCACTGAGTGTATTTCCACCCCTTTCTCTCAGCCTGGTAAAGAAATAAATAGAAATACATTTTCTTTGCATTAGTTTATTTACCAACTGGAAACGCTATATTTATGACATAAGTCAATCTGACACTCATCCGACATGTCATTGCTGATATGTTTTAAGTCTCACAAAATTTCGATAAAATGACGTCTGTGTGATAAAGTCACGTAGTTTGGATTCCCTAATAAAAAGTCTTTCAAATTGACATGTCTCGTAATACCTGGTGTGCGCGCGCAACTCGTGGGTTGCAGGTGAGCGTCCAATGAAAATCGAGTTTGTTACGGGCTTGCGTCATATTCGTATTCAGGGACGAGTTCAGAATTAATCGTTTTTTCTTTCTTTGTAACGTGTAATTTGACAAAGAGCAAACTAATACTTTACGTATTACTTGAACTTATCGCAGTGTCGTTTAAGGTTATGTTAGATTATACTTGACACATTCCTTTGTAATTTCATTGTGTGATGTTGCCGGATGAAACATTTATCAAAATAAAAGTGCCATCGAAGTTAACATACAATTTAAAGCTCTTCTTTTGTCTGATTTAAGGCGTTGTAGAACACTTGACAATATATTACTTCTTTAATGTTATAATGTTCGATTTGTATTGTCTACATTTGTTCTGCAACAATACAATCTGGCTACACTGCAGCCACGCGTTGCGCGCGCATGTCATTTTTCAATACTTTCTAACTTGTATTTTTTACCATAAAGCTCTCTTTTTCTATTTCTGTGAGACACGTCAATTGATTTTATATAAAACACTTCTAACAACTGTCAAAATCTAAAGCTATTTTAACATGTGGGTCACTCATGTGACATAAAACCAATCTCTGAAGCCATGTGTAAAAAAAATTGTCACTTTTCGTGCAAAGTCTATTGGCGCTTCCGAATGATTGATTTATTGCGCACTGAGTATATTTCCATCTCTTTCCCTCAGCCTGGTAGAAAAACATAATAGAAATACATTTTCTTTGTATTAATTTCACCAACCAGAAACGCCATTTATGACAAAAGTCAATCTGACACCCATCCGACATGTCATTGCTGATATAAAGTCGTTAGCATAAAAAGTGGGACCCCGACTGATAGGTCTTGTCATTTTTCGCTATTTTGGGTAAATCAGACAATGGGTTTTTTTGTCAAATATGTCAATCCCTGTCATTGCCGTAGGTATAGCTGATGAGCTCGTTTTACAATAGGAAAAAACGGGTGTCCTACTTTTTATGCTCACGACTGTATGTTTTGAGTCTTACAAAATTTCGATAAAATGACGCCTGTGTGGTAAAGTCACGTAGTTTGGTTCCTAATAAAAGTCCTTCAGATTGATTTTTAATAAAACTCATCTAACAACTGTCAAAATCTGAACTTATTTTGACAGTTGCGCCACTCATGTGTTTTATGTAAAACCAATCTGGGTCCCTATTCTTGAAACAGGGAAGCAGCATTCCCAGGAGAACGTCTCTGTTACCTAAAGTCTGTTTTTTTTTAAAGATAATTCTTCAAGTCCCAAGTCAAAAATTTAGTAACTATGTTGGCAACACAAGCCTTTTCTACATAAAAAATTTGAAAGCATTGACAATTTTACATTGTATTGCCAACATAATGTCATTTTGACTTTTATCTTTCAAAAAAAAAGCAGACTTTATATTTATCATTTGCATATCATTGGGAAAGACGGAACACTCGTTCTCCTGGGAACACTGCTCCCCTGCTTCAAGAATAGGGACCCTAAAGTCACGTGTAAAAAAAACAACTGTCAATTTTGATGCATAGTTGACGTAACAGAAAATGAGCGATAATTAAAAAACTGTTAGTAATAAAATACAGGGTTAGCAGAAAGTACTGCAACACTCAGATATTTTCAAAACCTCTTAAGCCGCGTTCCCACAATTTGGAATCTGATAGTTTATTAGGCATGCGGGATTGATGCCCGATTGCACCGTCTCTCCTAACTGAGGCTTAACGATAACTATCCCTTAAATTGACAGTTTTGTATAGGAAAATGTCACTTTAAGGAATGGTTATCTTTAAGCCTCGGTTAAGAGAGACGGTGCAATCGGGCATTAACAATGCTATCGGTAATGCTGCCAGATTTCCCAGTTTTGCGCTACACGTAGTCTTGTGGTTATCTTAAATAGAATGAAACATTTTTTTTTATTGCAGTGAATTGGGCGTTCCAAATTTGATAAGATTCCATATGTTCAGAATTCCATCTCTACTAGTTGCTGAAATATGACAACACCGCATTTATAGTAAAAAGTATCGCAACGCTTGAATATCTTTGAAAGCCGCTTAAGCACGTTCACGAAATTCGGTATCTGGGAGTTTTTGGGCAAGAGAAATTTAACAGTGATATCGGATGTCAGATTTCCTAGTCTTTTTCTTATCTTAAAAGAAATGCCCCGTTCAACTTAAGCAAGTTTCACTGAAAATACGGTGTCGGCGTATTTCAGAAACTCTAAGAATTCTGAAAATTTTGAATCTTATCAAATTTGGGACGCCCAATTCACTGCTATAAAAACAAATATTGCATTCTATTTAAGATAACAACAAAACTACGTGTAGCGCAAAACTGGGAAATTTAGCAGCACTGTTCAATTCCGCATATCCAAAAACTGTCAGATTTCAAATTGTGTGAACGCAGCTTAAGCGGTTTTGAAGATACTTAAGCGTTGCAGTAGTTTTTACTGAAAATGCGGTGTTGGCATATTTCAGCAACTAGCAAAGATAGAATTCTGGAAATTTCCCGTTTTATCAAATTTGGCACGCCCGATTCATTGCAATAAAAATAAATGGGGCATTCCATTTAACATAATAAAAAGACTACATGTTGCGCAAGAGTGGGAAATCTGGCAACATTGCCAATAGCACTGTTCAATCCCGTATGTCCAAAAACTGTCAGATTCCGAATTGTGTGAACGCGGCTTGAGCGGTTTTGAAGATATTTAAGGGTTGCAGTACTTTCTACTAACTCGGTACCTATATTGACATATAGGTAATTTTCATCAGTTTCATAATAATCCAGAAATATTCTTTCCTTCTGAACAAACTGATCGAAATCACTTGAGGTTTGTTTCAAACAATTGTCATCCAGTTTTACAATGGTTTCATTGGCCCAAACTGTTTTTTTGACGCCTCATCAACAAACCTTATGTGATTACAATCAGTTTGTTCATTGGTTTGTTCAGATCGAAAGAATACCTGGAATATGTAAAAATCTACACAAAAAAAAGTCTCTCATAAACACAACAACAATTTTTAAGCTTTTTTCTCTATTTATCAAAAAATTAATACAAGTAAAAACAAACTTCGTTTCAAGTCCTGCCCTGTACAATCAATACCTGTTAAATCCATGAACGTATCATTTTGCGTAATTTTCCGCAAGAAAAAAGGATAAACTCGTGTTAAGCTTTTGTAATAATTGATAATTCAAGTTATTACTATTAATTATTATAAAATATTTGTTTTCTTTACGGGTAATTTTAATTACAAACCTTGTAATTTAAAAAAAAGTATACTTTCTTCCGGTACACCATTGACTAAAATCTGGACAGTGGCGTGGCCGTTGCAACAATAAAAAAATTGTTTATTTTATTGTATTTTATGAGTTATCAGAGGCGTAGCTAGATAATAATAATTATTTATCCTAGAGAAAAAATTATTTACAAAAAATACTCAATTTTTATTTCTAAACAGGTTCAAGAAGCTAATATTAAGAGACCTGACCCAAGTTACAAGCAGGTATAGAAGAAGCCAAAGAAAAATCGATAATAAATGAACCTTGGCCGTAAATAATCCAACTCTTGCCTTCTATCTACCTACACAAACAGACTACGTGACTGTGCGCTTAAAGATTAAATTGCCACACCCTGACTCGAATAATTGCTTTGTTTATTTGGCATTTAAAATGTTATTCAGATGAAAAAATATGAAGAAATTTTTTTGCCTGAATAGTAAAATACAAATTTTATTATTCGTTTAAATAAATACTTAATATTTCTGTACCTCTCTGCGATTTAACTAAAATATGGATTTTGCTTGAACGCCACTGTATATTTTTATACAAATGCGGGGCCTATGTAATGTTTTCCCTTTTTTAAGCCTGTAAATCCAGTGTCGTTTCCTCTAAATTTTTCGTCTATGTCTTGAATTTATCTACCTACTCATCTGTGCTTTTTTTTTATGTACCTAGCACTGCACTGAACAATAAACTCAATTAAATCTGGCTGCATTCTTTAGCTCATATTTGCTTGCATTCAATCCCTTATCATACAGATTTACCTGAATAATTATGTACGTAATATAAAAATGTAGGAATAGATAATTATGCAAAAATACAAATTAAATTGATGACGCCTCTGGATATGATAATCTAATTAATGAGATTTTTTTTTAATTGAAGGTATAAAAGTCCAATTGCAGGAATAAATAGTAATTGCACAATATATTGAGCTTATAACAATGAAATGTTTTGGTTAAAATTGTTAAATTCAAAAGAATTCATCCAAACTTGACTAGATAGATATTTTTCAAGAAAAAAATTAGGATTATCAGAGGTTTCACAAGCTCCTAGTAAATGATAAGATAATTGTTATTAAGAAGAAGAAACAGCCAAATAATTGTATTTACTATGTAGTTATCCGACCAAATCGAAATAGGACTGTTTGTTTGTACCGGAATACTGAGAATCAAGAGGAAGTTTCAAATATGAACATATGCAGCGTATACGCAAATTTTTATAAAACGTATGTTCTTTTTAATAGTTTTCATCTGGCATTTTTTATCGTCTAAAGGTGTTTTGAAGGAAACAGAATTCTTGACAATAAAATACTCAATTAATCTTTATTTATTCATCCCTAAAATGAGTACAAATATAAATGGAACAGCACAAATTGTATATAAAGTCTTATCAATTAACAAGAATGGAACAAAAGTAGCTAGGAAACAAAACAAAATTAAGGAACTTAAAGTACAACTCATAAAAACATAATTTGTTTTATCAATAGAATAAATGTTTGAAAGCAACAATCAGATATGTATTTTACTTTATTATCATCATCTGATCACAAACTAATTGTTTTTCTACAACTATACCAATATTATTTTCTTCTTATATAATAACTTAACAGTGAGTCAGAACTTAAAACTTATTATTTTTGTACTAGTAAAGCAGTAAAGTGGCAAGTTTTGGCAACTTTTAAATTAAATTTCCATTAGTTTGGGTTAGTCAAAAATTTACCGGAATGTTTTTTTAACAATAATATGCCAAAGCTAAAATAATCAATACATTTCTTTACAAAATATACATAATTCAAGAAAAATATCCATTTTTGTTTTCACTATCACTAAATAATATCAGATTTTTTGTTTTTTTGACAATCAAGACTAGAGAGAATACCTACAAGATGAACTCTACAACATCACAATAAATAAAATATCGAAATTGGACAACTAAACGTGAGACGAGGTTATACCATGGGTAACTGAGTTTTCTAGCACCACATCCAATTCGTCTAAGGGAGCAAGAATTTGAGTTAAAAATGTTAAAAGACCTCTCTTTCTCAAAAAAGAGTTTTCCTCATACATTTCTTGGGTAATGCGGCAAGAGGCCATTGGAGGTAACATTCTATGCAATAAATGTTCCCTAAAAGAATGGTTCAGTTAAAATTTAATTTTTCTTTTGAACATTAGGTACTTACCTTACGCCTAGACAAATAAACATTTGAAATTTGCCATCTTTCCCCAAATTCTTGCTTGTATGTCTAATTTCATCAACAAGATGACAATAACATCTCCAAACAGCTACAGTTTCCTGATGATTTCTCTCCAAACTGGTTGTTTCAGTTCCAGAAAGCTCATCCAGAAGATTTTGCTCAAACTGATCTTTGACACGAACTAGAAAAATTGCAATTAAAAATACATCAATCAAGGAAATTTTTGTTATTACCAAAATAGTCCCACAAATAATGTTTGCCCACAAACATTCTGCTCGATTTAAAGCCCAAAAGAAATACATTTTCTAGGCAATGCACTAGGCCGTCTTCGCTGCAAAGCAGAGCCGTCAGGGTGGTGTGTCTTTCAGAACTTCTTGTGTATCTCCATTTGACAATGTTATTAACACAGTCACCTAAATAATTTAGAAATAGCTATAAGAAGGAAAATGCACAGGCATGTATAAAAAATAAAGTAGCAACGAATCTCAAGAATGTTAGAAATCAATGAGAATTTTGAACATTTCTTATTATTCTCTTACCCAACATATATTGTAATTCAGACGGTTTCATTTCAGGCCTAGGAGAAGGTGCCGGCGATCTAGACCTAGGAGTGCTCCTGCCTAGACTTCCTGTAGGTCTGCCAGTGTCTTCTTCATCTTTTTTAAAAGACATCAGGGTGCCTACCAGTAGTCTCTCAGTGGAACCGTCGTCTATGCCACGCCCTAGCCATCTACCGCATGTGAATCTAGCCAATATCAACAATAATTTAGAAGCTTAAAAACAATAACTCAACTCACCTGTATGTGTGTCCAGTAATTTCGTTTCTAACCAAAATATAGTCAACCATCCACTTAGCGTACAGTCCAGTATTATCGTGTCCAATTCTCAAAGTGGTCAACACTCCCAGATTCCTGTTTCTATACTCAAAATTGTAAGTGTTTTTTGGTACTGAAATTTTGAGACTTTCAGATAAAGTCCCTGACAGTACTACCCAAACATTTGCCGAAGTGTAAGCCCCTTTTTTATTAGGTACCACCACAATTCGATAAGGTATAACAGTCGTAGGATAAGTGCTGGTAAAGCAAAAATAATCCACAGCATTCAAGGACAGCAAATGATATAAAAATTGTTCTTTTTCCTCTTCGCAACGTAAAAAGGCAGATCTTTTGTAGAGGTCTTTCAACAGGTTTTGATCCATTAATAAAGTCCTGAGATGTTTGGACAATTGCTTTTTTTCCAAAACCAACCGGACCCACGCTCTGCCAAAACCGATTCCAGTTTTTACGTCCGGCATCGCTTGGACGTTGCTGATTTCGAAAAATATTGTATTTGGTAAGTCTGGTAGTTCGGTTTTCGTTGCATCATTAGGCCAGCTTTCTAGACTTGTTGTCAGACGAGACGTATCTGAATCAATCAATATATTACAGAATGGTTGTAATTTACATTGTTTTACAAAGTATATTTATTGCTAGTGTGTAATCTTACAATTTGCTACATTTAGGCGATTTGATTTCCTGTATGTGATACATATTTTCAATTTGTTTGAAAATCAATATATTTGAACTTAAACTGAGAAATAGTATCAGCAAGCCAAGGGGTAAACCACTATGCTTACAAATGTACAATGATTTCCATATTTGGCAATTACTGATCAATGAATCTCATGTATTCTCATCCCAAGAATTGCGACTGATTGCAAATGATTTTTAGATATTTTTGTATGATTACCAGGTGATTTCCATTTTTCTGGGGATTTCTATATCATTCCCAATTGATTACCTGATTTTTTACAATCATCTGATTTCCAGCTGATTTTATCACAAAAACGATGTTTATTGTTAAGTTCCGCATTGATATGAGCAAAATAAACAGTATTTTCTCTTATAAAAACAAGTTTCCATTGAAAAATTGGGAAATACTTCTGTATTTGCAATTCTTCCAAAAGTAAGCAACTTTTATTTTCATGGTTGTGTCCACACGCACACCGATTTTGTTGTAGGTATAAATAGTTGTTGAGTCCCAGATACCATTGCGTGTTTACAGTGCATAATATGGATCTAAAATAATGGATATTTTTTTGATTTTACTAGGATGTTCATCTGAGTCAGAGACATCTTCAGTTAGGGTTTCACTTGACAAACCTATTTCTGATTCTGTTTTAGATGTGCTATCGTCTCTGTTTCTCGCACTATTTATTCTATTTTCCTTTTTCAAGTTCTTATTGCCTTAGATTCCTGACTTTTTCTTTTGTGTCTTCCTCAGGGACATTCCCATAGCTCTCAATACTCAATCGAAAAACGTCCCTGCTTCTCTGAGAAGAATCAAATTAAAGTTGAGCCCCGAATAATTTCTTTATTGTAGCGAATCGCAATTGCTAAACCCTGATGTGTGAAGAAATTTTGTGTTTTTTTGGCAAGTCGGATTCAAGAGATATTTCAGGATTAATATTTTCATTTTAATGATCCACAATATTGTCAGACTTTAGGTCTGATTTCACAGAAATCACAAACCAGTCGGAGCGAATTTCATTGGTTGAAAATAATCAGAAAACTGGTTGTTGACGATTTGCACCAATCAAAAACGCTCTGACTGGTTTGTGATTTTTGTGCAAACAGACCTAATCTCGTTCTTCAAGTTCTAAACTCTTCGTAGTCTTGGATTCAGTTATTAGCTCAGTTATTGGCAAACTCGTTGGGATATCAAATTTATTTCTAATTAAAACTTAGTCTTTAAGGCAAATACACAACTGATCGGTACGCTGTATCGTTTGAGAGGCATAATATGCGATTTTTGGGTTAGAATGAGATGATATTCCCAAGATTCCTATGTTATTCCCATGGAGTCCTAGGAGATTACTAGTGATTCCTAGGTTATTCCCAGGGATTCCCAAATGATTTCCATGTATTCATTGATTACTATGTGATTCCCAAAAAAATTTACAGTGATTTCCACTAGTGGTTTACCCCTCCCAGGAAGCTCATTCATAAAGGTTGATTTACATGTATCCAGTAGCTGGCGCCAGGCTGACAAAGCGCTGCACCCAGATTTACACTGCGGTATTCTACTAGCAAAAAAAATAAACACACTCTCTATTCCCTCCAGTACTGGACTGGCACTAGCAGGTGTTCACATGATGCCAGAACTGAAACGCCAGTGAAACTGGCCAAAGTTACTGGATACATATAAGGGCGGGTATTATAAAACTATTTTGACAGAATAATAGACCTATCTATTTTTACCTGGCATGCGCGCGCAACACGAGGCAATGCCTTTCTATTGGCTAACTAGCACAGGTGAGAGGTGTTCGTTTTACACGCTGGACATATGCTTGTCCTTGTTAATTGCCAGTGGTCTGACAAGAATAAAAGTACGGTTAATATTTAACTTGACATAACTTGAAAAGTGACATGTAAAAATTGTTTGACATTTTCATTGACAAATACGTTGCACAACATGCAGTCTTTCTCCTTCCCCTTTTATCCCGTGCAAATAAGAAGAAAGGATTGGTATACGTAAGTCTAACATAATTTGGTACGTTTTGCCTCGTCTTGCGCAATGAGCGTTCTGTGTCTTTTTTTATATAATGAAGTTTTCGTATTATTGCCTCTTTGGTAAAATAGATAGGTCTATTGAAAGTTAACTACTGGATTGACGTTACTTCTCATGTAATTCCAGAAGTTAACTTTGAGGTATCTTTCAAAATAATTTCATAATATACGCTCTAAGTCGGTCTTTATGGATGAACTTCCTGATGCTATTCTTCAGTTTCAAAATCTGCTCCGCCCATTTCTAGGGCTTATCAATGATTACCCCAAGGTACTTAATAGGTCTGTTCTCACAGAAACCACAAATCAGTGTTTTTGATTGGTACAAATCGCTATCAACCAGTTTTCATGGCTATTTTCAACCAATGAAATTTGCTCCGACTGGTTTGCGATTTCTGTAAGAGCAGACCTTATTTTGCTATAGTCAGTAAAAATGCTATATTAGGTCTTTTCAAACAAATTAACAAAAAAAAATTGTTAATAATGTTGTTTCAAATAAATTACCTGCACTCAAATAATTATTGTCCTTTTTGTTCAGATCCTGGTATTTTTCCTGGTAGGCCAACAAATGCGTCCACAAAGCGGATTTCCCTCTTTTCTTTTGCAAACCGTGAGACCAGACGCGCTCTAGAAAATCACACAAAGCTCCTACTAATGTGTTTTCTTCTACAGCTGATCTACTGTCTGACGAAGGGTTGCTAGAGAGTGTTACTCCTTCTGCTCCTAGTTTTGCCAGAAGCATTCTTTTGGTTTTAGTTTTACAATCCTAAAAAAATTATTGTTTTTCACAGCAAGGTAATTTTTATTAGTTAGTATTACCCCTAATAATTTCTCCACAAACGTCCAATTAGCTTGAGCTAATAACGCAGGAGACATATTCTCTTGATTATTTTGCGATTTGGTGCTTTTATCATTATTTGGCAATGGAGGTTTACCGAAAATATAGCCCTTTTTCAACTCTCTTGCCCTTGGAATACTGCCTTTACTCATGACAGGCGTTTTATTTAAAACATCTTTATTCAATAAAGGAAACTGCCTGCTTATTATTTGCTTGGAATTCATTATTTCTCGTGGCATTGGAGATTCAAATTCTGGATTTTGAAATCGCCTTTCTAATAATTTTTGAGTTTCATGGACAATTGTACAAGGTTCATAAGCAATGGATCTAAGTAAATTTTCACCTCCATAACGTTGTTTTAGTAGTTTTATTCTATTATCGAAAATTAAAAGGTTATCGTCTCTCTCACCCCATTGAGATAAAATTTTGTTATCAATCATTGTAGCAAACATTTGAGACTCTAAAAATCTATAAAGAAAAAGCCGGTTGTGCTCTGGTTGGTCTGACAAAAAAGAAGCTTTGTCAAAATTTTGCATTTCATCTCTATTATTAAACCAATCTTCTTTATTGTGATTAGTTGGAAATATAACAAAATTCTCATATGACTGAAATATGTGCACAAATCTATTCAAAAAAATCTCCCTCACAGCGTTATTAAATCTCATATCCTCTACATAAGAGTCAGAGGGCTGTTGTAAATCATTTTTATCCAAAGCCACCCCAGTCCTTCTGACAATATCCGCTATTCTTTGCAAAGCTTCGGATCTGGCCGATCCTGGAGGCGATGGAGGCCTATCACAGTCTAGAGTATTATGAATAGATAATTTTCTTTGGTTTTGAGGCCTGCCTGGCAGAGTGCAGCTTCTGGGCGGGGTATCCCCCCAAATAGTTCTAGTATTTTCAGAATTTGGCACGTGCACACCGTATTTGTCTAAAAGAGACCAAATTTCAACAACAAATGTTTCCAAGTGGGGAAATATTGGTAATTCTTCAGGCAGTTGCACTTTACATTTATCAATGTCTACATAGCATAGAGTAGCTTCAGAGGCTACTTTTATGTTTTCTGATGAGGCGTATAGGCCTGAAAAAGATTTGTTTTTGGTTTGATTATAATGTTGATGCTGATAATTTACCCATCAAAAATGGCACAGGAGCATCTAAAAAATGATGTAATTCGGCAGGTAAAATAGGAACATAAACGTGGGGCCATGTAAAAGGAAATAATAAAGCTGTCATTCCTTCAGCAACAACCATTAATTTTTGAGGATCTAAGACAAAGTATTTGATTACCTCATTTCTTACAAATGAAAATTCTTACCTGTACTCCTCAATAAAATCTGATTTTCCAACAACAAGCAGGTAAATAATTGCACAATAATGTCAACCCCTAACCAACTAAACATCAACCTTAAGGAGTAATCTAAATGGGGCAATTCCACTGGTGGAGCTGGGTTCTGTAAAATCACACTTGTGGGAGGTAACTGAGGATCAGATGGAGGTAAATGAACTAAGATACTTTTTCCTGGAACTGGTAACTCGATCTAAAAGGCATTTTTCTGGTTTTTATACGTATTGAAAAATTGCATTAGGTAAATGAAAATAAATAGTAAAAATGAGAGTAGCATTGCAAGGAAAAGAAACATTTTAATTGAATATTGAGAATTAAATGACCTTGCTGAGGTTAGTGATTATGTAAGTCTTGTTTAGCAGAGATATTAATATTGCAATATAATTAATTACCTCATAAAGAAAATTAAAAACATAACTTTCCAAACTGAGACCATTAATAGAGGTAGATTTTCTTGGTGCACACCTACAAATAATAATGTTTTAGTTTCCAATTATTTTTTTGATACATTTTTACCTATAAAGGTTTTCTAAAAACACCTTAGCTGCCTGCACATAAGCCACCTGACAAATTAAACCAATACTTTTGGCAACAAATAGTTTATCTTTGGTAATATCATAGTAAGTCAATACAGATCCATTTTGAGAATTCAACTTGAAATGTCTGGGCAAAGAGCGTGACTGAGGTCCTTGAGATTGTATTTGCTGAATAGGTCGATTCTTTAAGTTACTAGAGAGTTCTGTAATGTACATGGCCTGCAATGTCTGCATAGCTGTACAAATATCCCTATTTCTCACTTCTTCATAGAATATCAAACTGAAGCCGTAACACCTTTTTCCATCCTCTCTAGTTATTAAGAAAGAATGAAAATTAGGCGACTGTGTTACAGAATGTTTCTGAGTTCTGAATCTTAATCCGCTGGGTAAAGCAAGCTAAAATATAGATAGTTTTTTTTTTAAGAGCTGTGACGTATAATACAGAAATGCTGAAAAGACATCTAATTTTTTTTTCTAATCCTCATTTGGAACTGACACTTGGGTATAATTTTTACTTTGGAACTGACAATTAGGTTCCAACAGTTAGGTATATGTACTTAATTGTCAGTTCTAAAGTAAAAATTATACTCAATGTCCATTCAGCACTTTCATAGTAGGTAGGTATAATAAATTCAGTAATTTCTCTTACCATACAAACAGCACTTTCATCGAAAGGGTTCACCTTGTTATTTTCTGGATAGTGAGCTAAAACTTTGCACTTGTAAGACCGTTCCAAAGGCGAAATATGTAAATTATCTGGAAATTGTTTATATGTTGAACAGCTGTTAAGTTAACAATAATAATGAAGAATTGGATTTAGATTTTATTGGTTTGAGTTTGTGTTTACCTGAATATTTATCTGGTTCTAAGCCTGAATTGAAGTCTAATCCACAAATAACAAAATAATCAGCAAATTTTGCCATTTTTGCAATATTTTGTTGTTTCTCTTCAATCTTGGTACAATATTGTTTCAGATTTCTAACTTTCTACATCCTTCAGTACTTTATATAAGTTCATGAATTAATTTAATAAATTATTTACTCATTTTTGTCTCTTAACTAAAAATAACTTCTATTTTTATTTCCAAATATTTTTTTAAACACTTTTGCCCTTTGCCCTTGCCATTTTTCATTTTTAGCTCTTCTTATTCTGTGAAACTTCTGGACCAAAAGCCATAATCCCAGTTAAAAAAAGAAGAGGTTCATTTTAACAGAAGGGTTTATTATCGATACGATATTCAGTGCAGGTCAATCATGTGGCAAAAAAGAAGTGCGTTTAGAAATGGAGTGTGAAGGTAGAGTAGTTGTTTGTCAGAGTGTTCTGACGTCATCACTTGGAGTCCACTCTGGGTGCGCTATTTCTGCACGTATTGGGACGTTTCGGTAACTTGTCAACGTCAAACCCGGTAAAACCGCGGGGCGTTTTTCAACCCAGTCCCTGAGGCGAGTTCAGGAATGACACACCTGTGAGTGTGACACCGGTGCGACGCCCTAGCTGTTCAAAAATGCTAGACAGTGCTATGGGCCCAATGGCCAATTGTCAATTCAGGCACACTCATAAAATCGCACTCGCACCCTGTGCGTTATTTCTGAACTCGGCCCTGAGTGGGGCAATTTGGGTGCACTCTGGGCACGTCAACTCTCGTTTTCTGAACGATTCCAGCGTAACGCTCCGAATAAGTACCTGTTAATTTATGAACGGTTTAGGGCGGGTATTATAAAACTACTTTGAGAGTTAACTTTTGGAATTACATGTAATTCAAAAAGTTAACTTCTGGAATTACATGTAATTCAAAAAGTTAACTTTAAGTTAACTCTCAAAGTAGTTTTATAATACCTACCCTTAGAGTTACTCTAAAGTCACTCCCACACCCAGAGTGCTATTTCTAAACGCAACCTTGTGTAAAGCCCAGTACTCATAATTGCGAAATTCGCACTTTTTTGACATTGCTTCGACAAATTGACGTTTGATACACGTATAAAACGTCAAATTGTCGACGCAATGTCAAAAAAGTGCGAATTTCGCAGTTATGAGTACTAGGCTTAAGGTCAAATAATCATTGGAGTGGCTTCGAAATCAGTCTGGGAGTCACTCCGAATGCACACCAGCCGTTCGAAAATGAATTGGTATAAACTCCGGTTGACTTTCACGCTAGTTCGAAAATATCCGGGGTGCTACCCAAGCGCACTCTTTCTTAACCAACTCTGCCGCTGGAAAATTTAACTTCTGTCATTCTTGTCAGTTTTTCATTTTTCTAATCTACTACTTTCATCTTTAAGCCTAGTACTCATAACTGCGAAATTCGCTCTTTTTTGACATTGCTTCGACAATTTGACGTTTGATTCACGCATAAAACTTCAAATTGTCGACGCAATGTCAAAAAAGTGCGAATTTCGCAGTAATGAGTACTAGGCTTTAGTCAGATTTATTTGTTCCATTTTCCGTTTCTCGGAAGTTGTTGTTGATATAGTCACAAACAGATAACTGGAATGCATTGAACACTGGGCCTTATTTATGTATAGTTGTATTCCTTTCAAGAGTTTGAAACACTCGAGCTACTCGCTTCGGTGCTCAGTCGCCCCCGATTTGCAGGGAACAGATGCGTGGTGCAACAAACACTTGTCGAAAGGAATAAGTGCGTGAAGCCCCGGAGCTGTTCCGGAGCTCTTCCTAGGTGTGAAAGGAATACAACTTATATATGTTAAGTTATAATAGTTGTATTCCTTTCAAGAGTTTGAAACACTCGAGCTACTCGCTCCGGTGTTCAGTCGCCACCGATTTGCAGGGACAGATGCGTGGTGCAACAAACACTTCCCGAAAGGAATAAGCGCGTAAAGACCCGGAGCTGTTTCGTAGCTCGTCCTAGGTGTGAAAGGAATACAACTAATTATACACCAGTGCGTTCGAAAACACTCCAGAAAAAATTTACTTCACGTGACCATATTCATTGACCCACTCTCACCCTTGGGTAAAATTTAACCCTTTTTCGAACGTACTCTTGGGGTTCTAATGTACACAATTCTGACATTCAATTTTTAGAGTGTTAAGCCTAGTACTCATAACTGCGAAATTCGCATTTTTTTGACATTGCTTCGACAATTTGACGTTTGATACACGCATAAAACGTCAAATTGTCAACGCAAAATGTGAATTTCGCAGTTATGAGTACTAGGCTTTTGGGTGGAATTTCATGCATCCGTTTTTCCGACGAAAGATGTCCGAAAAACATTCTATTCTGACATAATCGTATAAAAATATGTCAAAATAGAAGATTTTTCGGACATATTTCGTCGGAAAAACGGATGCATGAAATTCCGGCCTTAGGGCGAATTCTCATGGGCGTAAGATGAGATTTCTGGCGTAATCACGTGATAAAATGGTTGGGTTTTATTGGAAAAATATTTGACATGTTGCAGACTTTACTAATCAAATTTCACCATATTATCACGTGATTACGCCAGAAATCTCATCTTACGCCCATGAGAATTCGCCCTAAGGCCGGAATTTCATGCATCCGTTTTTCCGACGAAATATGTCCGAAAAATCTTCTATTTTGACATATTTTTATACGATTATGTCAGAATAGAATGTTTTTCGGACATCTTTCGTCGGAAAAAACGGATGCATGAAACTCCACCCAAAAGCCTAGTACTCATAACTGCGAAATTCGCATTTTTTTGACATTGCGTTGACAATTTGACGTTTTATGCGTGTATCAAACGCCAGAAATGTCAACTTACGCTCATGAGAATTCGCCCTTAATTTTAGTGGCATGTAGACGTATTAATTAATAGTTGATGAAAAATTTTCTTGTCTCGACTGGGATTTGAACCCAGGACTCCAACATTTCCAGTGTAACGCTCTACCAACTGAACCACATTTCTACCTTGTCGATCAAGTCTTTAATACGTCTACATGCCACTAAAATTAACACTATAAATTATATAGCAGGCGTTTCCGATTGGTACATCTAGTGCGGAACTAGTGCAATTTTTTCTATCTCTGTCTTTTTCTTCTACAAGTCGATTAAAAGAATGCAAATACACTCAGTGCGCACGGAATCTACCAATCGGAAACGCCATTATTATATAAAGTCAGAATTTGTAAGATTATGTACTTTTTGTCAATTCGCCTTTCAACAGAAATCAGGGTTGCCAGATTTATGAAATGAAAAAGCGGGACTGTTCTTATCCAGAGGGAAAGTTCGCCGCACGCGAATCATTTTTTTCGGGTGCCACGCCCAAAAGCATAAGGGGGGGGGGGCAAGTGCCATATGCTAGCTTGTGCAATAAAAGATTAGGATTTTGTTGGAATTTTTGACATTTTTATACCTACAACATACAATATTTATTATCAATTTTTTTTGTTAAAACCCAAGAATCCTAAACTAACAGGATTGCTCATCCTGAGAAGGCGTACGTTTGCCGGTTCTCGAGTCCAGAAGGTCTGCGAGTGACGGCACCACTTCAGCAGCTAATAGTGGAGACGTCAACCGCAGACCTCGATGAAATGCTTGCGATTCAGGCTAGTTATTTGATTTTTGCATCGATTTTAAATTTAGAAATAGCTATTTATGTAACAAGTTGTAAAATGAGCGTGTTTTTTGCACTAAATGTGAAGATTGGGTGGAACCGATTAAAAAAATGCGGGACTGTCCCTCCTAAGGTGGGACGTCTGGCAACCCTGACAGAAATTAGTAATGTTACTTCACCAAACTAGTAATATATTGTCACATTGTGACAAGTTATTCAAGTACAAATGAGTAAATTATTGCGGAACTTATTATGGGTGCACCTCTGCGGAACGAGCGCAGCGAGTTCCGCAGCCATCTACTCACCAATATACTGTTGAACTGTTCAAATAAGACATTCACCTGAAATATGTATCTGAAAGTGGAATGTAGCACTTTACCGCACTCTATGCAGTGGTACTTTCCACATGCAAATAAGTGCGGTGAAGTGCACTTTCCACACGCTCGTGGGTAATGAATAAAGCATGACGTGTTTTAGTTCATGTTTTATTTCCCAAATTTTAATTTGAAAAGATGATAAAAATAGATAAATTGGTCGCCACTGTATGTAAATGTCTATTTAGTCACTGTACACTAGTGCTGTACACACACTCAGTGCGCACTGAACTTAAGGAAAATCAAAACAAAGAAAAGAAACAAAAAAGTTAAATCTAAATATGTATGTGGATTATTTCGCAGTCGTAGAAAAAGTTTAGTGTGTAATAACCTGTGTGAAAAGCACTTTTCACACTCCCTTGTATGGTGTTTTCCCCACGTGTGTGAAAAGTTCTATTGTCAACACTCGTTGGTACAGTGACTCTATTACCACAGTGGCGACAATTGCTGTCTTATTTTTGATGGGTTCTAAAATCCCATATATTTATATTGAAAAAACCGCCATTTGGTTCCCAACCTCTTGTTACTTTTGAATAGGAATATATGGGATTTAGGTGAACATCCATCATAAATCATGGAAAACAACGTATTTGATGGACCTAATAATGGTCATCAAATACGTCGATATCAATTTTTTATGATAGATGTCCATTTAAATCCTATCTATATATTAATATTTAAAAGTAACAAGAGGTTGGGAACAAGATGGCGGCGGGACCTCCATTGTCGCCACTGTAAGTAAAGGTTTATTTAGCCACTGTACTCGTTGGCACTGCACACTTGATTTGTACCTCAAATACTCTTTGCAATCCGAAAGCAAATATTTCTTGCTCCTTTTACTTTGAAATACTCATTGGAAATACTCAAACATAGTATAAATGCGTGAAGCTAAAGTTGTCAAAAACGATTATTTGAGGTTATGTGCATGTTTTGTTGATTTGCTTGTTGATTACAAATATTACAAAACTGTTTTGGTTTTCGATTTATATTGTACCTACTTTGAGCAAAATTTCACCAATTATACAATAAAAATCGTAAAAATTCAATGTCGACCTCTAGTGAAGATGTGCTGCTACAAGTCGCCAACGTCCGATACAAAAAGGGCGACGGTTCGCTGTTTCTCATGGACCAAAGACTGATTTGGATGGTAGAAAATCGAGACACCGTGGCCGTATCGCACGCCTACGCTGATATCAAATCCCAGAAAATTTCTCCGGAAGGTAAAGCCAAAGTGCAACTGCAAGTCGTCCTACATAGCGGCGCCTCGTCCACTTTTCATTTCACTAATAAAAATGGTTTGCAAGGACAATTGGCCGATAGGGACAGAGTCAAGGACATGTTGCAAACTCTATTGCCGAAATTTAAAAGAAAGGTAGACAAAGAGCTTGAAGAGAAAAATAAATTGCTGTCTACTAATCCAACATTGCTGCAACTGTATAAGGATTTGGTTATGACTGAGGTTGTGTCCTCGGAGGAATTTTGGACTCAGCATGCGCAACAGTATACACAAAAGACCAAACAAGCTCCTCAAGAAATTGGAGTTTCTGGAGCATTTTTAGCTGATATCAAACCACAAACTGATGGCTGTAATGGACTTAAATACAACATCACCCCAGATATAATTGAATGTATTTTCAAGACTTATCCTGCAGTCAAAAAGAAGTTCATTGAAAATGTTCCCACCAAACTTACTGAAGCTCAATTTTGGACTAAATTTTTTCAGTCCCATTATTTTCACAGAGACCGTAAATATGCTGAAAATAAAGATTTGTTCACTGAATGTGGAAAAAGTGACGATCAAGAAATGAAAAGAGATATTCAAGCTGGAGTTGACGATCCTCTTGTAAATCTTACAGAATTTGATGATAAAACTCTAGAAGAGGGTTTTGGAGGAAGCAATGAAAAACCTACCAGCAATATAAGCACAGTGAGCCAAGCAATGATCAAAAGATTCAATCAACATTCAATAATGGTATTGAAAGCAACAAAAAACAAACTAAATGATACAGAAAATCCAACTGAATCCTCAACTAGTAAAGCTCCTGTTGAAGAACCAGTCAATAAAAGGCAAAAAATCAAACACAAAATAACTTATGATGATTTGGAAAGCAACGAGGAAGCAAATGGCAATATTCATCTGAAATTATCAAAAGTAGAAAGATACTTGCATGGTCCAATGCCAGACACAATCCCAGACAGCATAAGCACCAATGAAGCTTCACAAATAATGCGAAACATCCTTCAGGAGGCAAGACAATGGCAAGCCAGGCCACATATGCCCAACTATGGCCTTGTAACACCTTCTGCTGCTATTTTAGCACTTGGAGATCTTTCACCCGGCGGTGCTCTTATGAGAGGATTCCAGGAACAATCACTTGCTCGTAAGAATTCTTTTATGTGATTTTTTAAAAAATTAAAATTTTATTTTCCAGAACTGGTACCTTCTGATATAGAAAAAGATGTAAGGAATTTATATTTGGCCCTCTGCGAGTTGTTGGGGCATTTTTGGAAATGTTTTCCTCCTACTTCGCCAAGTGCCGATCAAAAATTGGTGAAAATGAATGAAGCTCTACTCAGATTTCAAACTGTGAAGCTGAAACCTTTTGAGGTAATTTTTTAATTTTTTAATTGAGAGTAGAATGTAGATTTTTTGTTTTGTTTAAGGATAAACTAATAAGAGAGCTCACTCCGCTGTCTCAACATTTAACGAAACATTTAAATCAACTTTTGAATGTGGCCTATCAGAAGTTTGGTAACTGGCAAAAAATGAAGTCTAGATAGGGATTTATAATTGTTTTATTTTTTGTAGTATTAAATGTTTAAGAAATTAAAATTTTTGGGTAATGGTTGAGACAAGGTAACTTTTCACAAATGATTTCGATTGAATTAATTTGAAATTTCAGTGATGAGCTCCGTTCTTTCCTCTTTCTACTTCGGAAGTTTCAAAATTTTCCCATTAAAAAATATATTCCAGAAATGTGCAAGTATTTCATGGTTTGAGGTTTGAATGAATACCATAATGTGGGATTTCATAGTTGAAAACTTTTAATTTTTATATCAGAATGACGAGAGGTTCAAAAATGAGTAGAACTTTAGATTACTCATCAGTTGAAAATTTAATTGATTTTCAGGTCAGAATTTTTATTATCAATGAGTGAATTGCGAACCTGAAAAATACTTCAGGGTATCAGGTCGATTTCAAACTTTCAGGATTTATTAATCAGGATGTTTTCATTGAACAATGCAAATTTGAAGTAAATCTGAAGCTGAGAAATAAAATTATGAGGTTTTTTCCAAGTTAATACTAGAAAAAGTTGGAAAATTGACGTCAAATCACTTTTGAAAAATCCTGAAAAATACTTTCGAGTATCAGATCGAATTGAAACTTTCAAGATTCATTAACCAGAATGTTTTTATCAAACAAGGTAAATTTGAAGTCAATCTTGAGCTCAGGAATAAAACTATGAGGTTTTTTTCAATTTAATACCAGGAAAAGTTGGAAAATTCATGTTAAATCACCTTTAAAAAATCCTGATAAATACTTCTGAGTATCAGATTGACTTGAAACTTTCAGGATTCATTAACCAGAATGTTTTCATCAAACAAGGCAAATTTGAAGTTGATTTCAGGCTCAGAACTAAAATTATAATTTTTTTTTCCCAACTTGATATCAATTTCCTCGCCAATTTCATGTTATATCATCTTTGAAAAATCCTGGAAAATACTTTGAGGAATCAGATCGACTTGAGATCCTCAGGATTCATTACCTAGGATCTTTTCATTAAACAGAGCAAATCTGAAACCGATCTGAAGCTCAGAAATAAAATAATGAGGTTTTTTCCAACTTATTATCAGAAAAAATTGTAAAATTCATTCTAAATCACCTTTGAAAAAGCCTGAAAAATACTTCAGAGTATTGGATCGGCTTGAAACTTTTAGGATATATTAATTAGAATATTTTCATTAAATAAAGCAAATTTGAAGTTAATTGGAGACTCAGAAACAAAATTATGGGGTTTTTTCCAACTTGATGACCAAAAAAAAAATTGTAAAACTAATATTTAATTCAAAATCTTACTAATTTTCAGGAATTGGAATTCCAGTAGGATTTAGTGGAATTCTGGTGAAAATATTATTTTCCAAGCTAGTTTACCCCTCGTGTGGCATTTTCGAGAAGTTACCTTATTGCAACCTGACCGCAATTTTTTATTCAACTACCTAAGTATCTACACTATAATTTTCCAAGGTATCACGCTTAATACCTTTTTTATCTCTATTAAGTTATTGAAAAAGTCTGAATCAAAATAAATCAAAGATAAAACAACTTTAAGCGCGTTAAAAGTGGTTTATTTTTGAAACAACAATACTAATAATAATAATAGTGTATAATATATACTATAGCTATTATACATAACAATAAAACTCTGTTTCCATATACATATTGCTTAAATCCAGCCAGTACGTTTTTGTCCAGTCAATTTAGACCGCATTGAAGGCTCAGGACGACTCTCATCAATCGTAATTTTGACACTATCAGTTTTTGGCTTTGGAGCCACTCTTGGAGGTTTTTCCACTGATTCTTTTGCCTTCAAAGTTTCTGAGGGTGCTGGAGTTTTGGTATCTGAGGGTTTTTTGGCTGCTGGAGTTGAAGTAGTTTTAGCCTCTGATACAATTTTCGTTTCTGATTTTGAAGGAGTTGATGGTTCTGATAAGGCAGCTTCAACTTTTTTCTTATCTAGCAGTGCCTTTTGCATGGACTCTCGTTTGGCACTATCGATACCCCCTGGGCTCAAGGTTGTCTTCAGTAGTTTTGTTTGAGATTCTTTTGGTATCGGAGGAGCTTGTTTTGATTTCAAAGAATCTTTCTTTGAAGGTTGACTGTGAGAGGCGGCTGGAAAATTATTTATTTGTTTAAATATTTAACATCTTAACAAAAATTTACCTGGAGAAAGTCCTGTTTCTTTTACTGTATTAAGACCTTGAGAACCCTGGAAATAACATTTATATGCACGTGTATCTAATAAAGCTATTTTTATAGAAATCATAATACAAGTTTTTCCAGAAAAATAAACACGAACTTACATCAGTTGTTTCTTGTTTCACCGCATTGCTTCCTTTAGATGCATCATGAGCAGTAGAGCCTGGCCAAAAATAAAAATATTAATAATATCACTAAAAATAGCTCAAGTTTTAGTTTAATGTTAGTGCTCGTATAAGGTAGGTGTATTTTTCTTTACCTCTAAACTTAACACTTTGCTTTTTGGATTCTCGTTGCGGTTTAAGGGGCGAAGCTTCCGATTCGGTTTTTTTATAGTCGTCCTCAATTTTTCTGGACATAAATTTAGCGTATGCCACTCTGGCGCCTCTTGGAACTTCCACAAGCTTAGGATTATACTCTAAAAGTTTTTAGTTGTATAAAATATTGTTTTACATTTTCAATACTTACCTATAAGTTTTTCGTCCTCAATCCTTACCGGTTGATCAACATTTGAAATAATATGTTTTCTCAAGCTTTGCCTTTTAAATCTGGATTCTTCAGCTTCCTGAGCTGAACCAATAGGATTGCTAGGAAGAGTATTTTTTCTTACCAATTCGTTCCAGTCTTTCTTTTTGCTTTTAGTTGTCCTTCTTCCTATAACTTTGGCAATTTGGCCAAATACGTTTTTAGGTTCAATGGGGTTTTGTTGCATTTCATTTACTAGGCCTTCGACTATTCCAATATGGAAATCTTTTAGAAGGCGTCGCTCCATTACTTTGCCTTTTTTACCAGAAACTGTACACAAGAAAATAATGTACTTTATTATCAACTTAAGAATATGTACTAAGAATTACTCTGGGTATCCTCCAAGGAGATGCTCGGTGTTTGCATGCCATTTTTCCGTAAAATATCAATCAGTTCATAACGTAAAGTCGAAATATCTTGTCGTATTTCCATAACATCATCCTCTGTAATGCCAAAATCATCTCTTTTTCTTTGTTCCGAGGTCACATATCTTCGCACTAGTAGTTTCATGATGACTTCATGTTTTTCTCTTGCCATATCTCTGGATTTATTCTAGGAATAGACAGTTTTGGCTTTATTGGGATGAATAATTATTTTATTTTACCTTGAAACTAGCAGTACTTTTAGTAGATTTAACGCAACCCATCATTTTCATAAAACTGTTTGGTTGTGGTATAATATTAAATGGTGGTGGTAAATCGTCTGTGTCTTCAAAGTAGCTTATCCAGAGACGACTTCTAGCAAATTTCCATTCTGTGTCGGATCTTTCCTATGGGGCAAAAAAAAAAACATTTTCAATGAGAATAAAATGTTTTTGAGTTTTTTACCGAAATTATTTGATAAGAATTAGACATCATAGCAATCAGCATGTTTAGCAAAACAATTACGTTAATTACAGAATAAGAACCAAACATAAGTAGTGCCCAAAATCTTGTAAAACCTTTTATACCGGATAATTCAAAAGTCATTAGATCTACCAAACCAAAACTGGCCCAAAATAGTGACTGGGAAGTTTCAAATAAGCTAAAAAAAATTTTGAAAATATATCCGTTTTTTGAATAAGTAAATAAAATACTTAGCATATCTTCTCCATATAGTACAAGCCTTGTCATTATTATCATAATCTGGTAAGCCACTGGGTAAATGATAGCATTTATTTTTTTCCAATTCTGCATAGTACCATAGCAATTGATTTAAACCTAAATCCAAGTATTAAAAATAATAATTAAAATCAAAAATTCTTACCGCATCCAAAAGCAAAAAGCACCAAAGTATAAATAAAAAAGAATTTCACAATGTCAATAATCATTCGTCCCAAGGATATTTGGAGTGGACCGAGATGTGGATTCACACTGAATATGTGAACCAATTTTAAGAAACTGAAAATCATTCCGGCAGCGAAAGCACCTTCTGAAAGGAGCATTGGTTCAAATGAATCCCATTCCTCTCTAGGGTACCATGTTGCCTTTCCAATTTGTTCATCTCTCTACCTCAAATTAGGTATAAAAATCGGTTTCGAATTGAAAATAAATGCTTACCCAACAAACAAAACATGAAGTCAAACGTAGAAACAACCAAATGACGTAAAATACGTTAGTGATGAAATCTACAATGTTCCACAAATCGGAAATGTATTCCATTATTCCGTCAGACCATAAAGAACATAATTCTGCCCATATTAAACCTGGAAAAAAGAGGCATAATTCAAAAACTAAAATCTCAAAGAATTTGAGCACGCACTTATTACATAAATTATAACGCCACATTCTGCTAAACCAAACAGTGCTCCTCGTTCTTTTCTTTTCCATTCTTTTACCAAATCTTGTACCCAATCGTTCCCTATCAATTCCAAAAGTAAAATTTCTATTCTTTGAGAAGCGGCACCGAGTAGCACTAAAATAATATTTATGTGTTATTGAATGAGTCAAATTTTTTTCTTACTCAAAAACAGTCCATATGAAGCTGAATGCACAATAAATTTAACAAAAGGTTTCTTCATAAAAACTCCCATAGTGGAGTTAGGAGCTATCATGTACACAGTACAATAAACAGGAAACATAGCTCCTAGTTTAGCCACCTGGATACCTTGCCCAATCATATTTTTTCTTCTAAAACCTGGAAGGCCTTCGTACCAAATAGCTGCCAAAAGTTGCTGGACGTTTGGATGAGCGATAAACTATAAGTATGTTATTCATATTTAGGTGGAAACTGGAAATACATTTGAATAAATATCTTACATGTTTTTGTTTATATTTTATTGCCAATTTTAATCTTTCCAAAGTTTGTCGTTCGCCAGTAACCCATACTTCACCGTCTGGATCGTAGTTGAGCATTATTTCTAGTTCGTAGGACGTTCTGGCATGGTCCAAAAGGGACGTGGCAAATTGTTGGACTTGGTTTCGCATTTCCTTTAGCATAAAATTCCAATAATCCTCTCGAATATTTAAATCAAATGATTCTTACATTGTAATCGGCTCTAAATTCAGTCTCCATTCGGCTCAATCGTCTCAAATCCCAAGAAAGTTCAAAAGCAGTAAGCAAAGGATCGCTAGAAGATAAACAAATTAATGAGGGAGACGATAAGGCTCTATAAGCATTGATACGGCTTTGGGAATGCCTCAGCGAGTCCGTTTTACTAGAATTTACGCATTCGTCACATCCACATCTAAAATAGTCTGTGTGTAAAAGTGATATATATTTTTTTTAAAATATGTTTCTACCGAACATCATGAGGCATAGGTAAAGTAGCTCCACGATCCAGCAAAAGTTTAATGATTTCGTAATTATTTTTGTGAGCTGCCAAAATGAGTGGAGTAATATCGGAAGTGAATGATGCTCCCGATCTATCAACTTCTTCCCAGCTCTGGAAAAAAAGATTTTATTGTGTACTTATTTGATTTTATAAGCTAATAAATACCCAAGGAACATCAGACTGGTGATGCTCTTCTTCCCAGTTTAGAAGTACTTCAACAGCTTCGACGTACTCTTCTTTGATTGCATGCAACAAACCATCCTAGAATTTATTTTTGGTAAAAACCAAATATAAACAGGTATAGTAGGTAGTTATTCACCTTTACTTTAATTCCTTCATTAAGTAATAACTTGATTAATTCAATGTTTTCATTTTCTATTGCAGCAATAATTGCCGAACGGTTTAAAGGGTCCACACAGTTTATGTCAAACTCTTCCGGCTGCGATTTATATTCATCGATAATTCTGGAATAATGGTAAGTATACAGGGTGTCCACAAATGAACTGACACATTTTGTAGGTAAATATTTCTGAGCCTGAAATCGATTCGCGGTGTTTTTGGTTTCATAAAAAGACCCTGCTCAATGTTTTGAAAGTCCCTCTGAATGCTTGAAGTATTTTTCAGAAGTACCCCATAGGGAAATTAGACCAAAAAAAGGGCCTACTGCGGAATGAGGCCGAACAAGCTGAATTTTTGCGGAGATCAGTGTTGCCAGGTCATATTTTGTTTTGTCAGTAGATTATCAGTCTAAATATCAGTAGAAAGATAAGTTGCCTTGTTAAAGGCCAAATTATGGATCAACTGGTAAGTGTCTGGTTGTTACCTAGCAGGTACTTTCTATTCTCTAGTGCATAAAAAGTACCTGCTAGGTTACAACCAGATGTTTACCAGTCAGTCCATAATTTGGCCCTTGGTAAACCATTTAAGTATACTCAATTAATTATTTTGACTACGTTTTTTCAATATGGTATTAGACTATGAAAACTTGCATTAGAAAATCAAACACTACTACTACTTATGAGAAATAGTTTACTAAGATTGACACATGAGATATTCCTATTAAATATGGAATACCTATGGGATGCCCTATGTTTGGTTAGATATTGTTGAAGAGTATAATTTCCAGACTCCAAAACTATATAGTTTGTCTATATTTGGTTGAGCCGGCTCCAATATATTGGATTCTAAAAATTTTGAAAATACTATCAGAGAAACCAAGTACCTACCTCAAATTTTACCTGCAGCTTTCACCTGTACAGGTAGAATGATTCACAAAATCAGTAGGATAGTATTTTTACAATTTTTGGAGCCGAATATATAAGAAACTGTTCAATCAAATATAGACAAACTATATATTTTTGGAATCAGGGCATTGCGCTCTTCAAGAATATAGAATGAAATATAGGGCATCCCATTTGAAAAAAGCTGGAAGCATGCAAAATTTCACATTTCTGACATTCAAATTTTGTTTCTGACCATAGTTTCTAAAAATTCAGCCAAAACTGTACAACTTTGGTATTTACACTTTTTTTATACCTGTAAAGGTAAAGGAGGTAGGTGGAGTGTCAATATATAAAAAAACACCCTGTACAAATAAGTGGATTATTGCGGAACTTATGGGTGAACCTCTGCGGGACGAGCGCAGCGAGTTCCGCAGCCATCTACTCAGCAATATACTGTTGAACTGTTCAAAAAAAAACACTCACCTAAAACTGAGTTTTTGAACTAAGGAGTTTTCATTACTGAGTGAATCAGGTTAGTATTGTACGTACTTGAACAACATATTGGTGAATAGATGGCTGCGGAACTCGCTGCGCTCGTCCCGCAGAGGTTCACCCATAAATTCCGCAACAATCCACTCGTTTGTACTTGAATAACTTGTCACAATATATTACTAGTTTGGTAAAGTAACATTACTAATTCCTTTTTAAAGGCGAATTGACAAAAAGTGAATAATCATAATCTTACAAATTTTGACTTTATATAATAAGTGATTGTTCAAATACAAATAAGTAGATTATTGCGGAACTTATGGGTGAATCTCTGCGGGACGAGCGCAGGGAGTTCCGCAGCTATCTACTCACCAATATACTGTTGAACTGTTCAAGTAAGACATTCACCTGAAACATGTAGTTTTTAAACTAATGGGAATAACTCACATTTGAGTGAGTCAGGTTAGTATCGTAATTAAACAACATGTTGATGAATAGATGAGGTCCACCCATAAGTTCCGCAACAATTCACTCGTTTGTACTCGAATAACTTGTCACAATATATTACTAGTTTGGTAAAGTAACATTACTAATTCCTTTTTAAAGGCGAATTGACAAAAAGTGAATAATCATAATCTTACAAATGAAAAATGGTACACCAGCACCTGAATTAATATAGGGCCTGTCAAAGTTTTTGAACAAGATTTATACGGAAATTCCAGTGCTTCCCAAACAAAACGAAATTTTGTGTTAAGTTAGATAATAATTATTATGTTTTACTTGTAAACAATATGTAATAATAATAATATTAAAGTATAATAATAATCTATATATACTCAGCATTAGATGAATATATTGCATTTTGAATAAATAATATATTTCTTCACAAAATTTCATGACCACAAAACATTTTGAGACTTTCAGGTAGAGCCCGTCCTCTCTTTATGTTTCGCATGATTTATAGCCATGCCGTGTTTTACAACTTAGGGGTAAACTTTCGGTGCATACACAAATAAGTGGATTGTTGCGGAACTTATGGGTGGACCTCTGCGGGACGAGCGCAGCGAGTTCCGCAGTCATCTATTCACCAATATGTTGTTTAGTTACGATACTAACCTGACTCACTCAAATGTGAGTTATTCTCATAAGTTTTAAAACTACATATTCCAGGTGAATGTCTTACTTAAACAGTTCAACAGTATATTGGTGAGTAGATAGCTGCGGAACTCGCTGCGCTCGTCCCGCAGAGGTCCACCCATAAGTTCCGCAACAATTCATTTATTTGTACTTGAATAACTTGTTGATGACAACGGCTTTTATCCGTAGAATTTACATTGATATCAGTATATCAGTAGACCAGTGGCCAAATCAGTAGATCTACTGATAAATCAGTAGACCTGGCAACACTGGCAGAGTCTTTCGTTTTGATGTTCTCATGAAGCACAAAAAAATCGAATATGCCTACCCTTGTGCGTTTTGAGATATCGTAGGTCAAAGGTCACGAAAATCGGTTATTTACGAAAATCTTGCTTCCAGTGCATCTGACGTCGAAGAACCCAAAACAAAATTTACGTAAAATAGTATTTTCTACAAAATTGTTCCTATAAATTTTTTTGTACGATCAACCGTTTTCGAAATATAGCGTGATAAAGCGGAAGCGCGCATTTAAAATGGGTGATACTATATTATACAGGGTGTCCTTGTTCAACTGGTCAAAAATGCTAGAGTATATAAAAGTCTCAAAAATACCGTTAGTAGATCCAAAAATTTCGCGCCCGCTGCGCTCCACTTCCCGCAGCGCTTGCGGTGGAGCTGCAAGGATTACTTCCTGCAAATTTGTCCCCTTTCCTCAAGACAAAATCCTGGCAACGCCAATGTTGCTGCCGAAGATGCAAGTTATATTATAAAGCCCCATGTTGTTATTATACAAATAATTCCCCTTTTCAATGTTAAACATAAGCCTACGCCACTGTAAAAGCCCACCATATTATAAAGATGCTGAGTAAGGAGTACTGCCTGGAAAAGTACCGTAATATCCAGGTTTCGCCTACACGATTGCAGGTGTCAGCACTATTTTATTATAAATACGGCGCGCAGAGCCTTCTTTCGTCATTCTCTTGTTTTGTAGCTTAGACTATAGCAATTATAATCAAAGATTCTTTTATTTTCGGCTTTTTGTCGCAGCAATTAGAGTCTAGTCTTTTTTGTTGTAACTTCTTAGTTTTCAATGAAATAAATAGTTTTTAAAAACAAGATTTACTGAACGAAAAATATACCTTATTTGCACGAATTTTAATAATATGCAGAGACGATCAATGATCCAGCGTAGCGATCCTGCAGTAAAATGGGTATCTATCAACTGGTCCTATTTAAGCCTATGTGTCTAGTAACCTAGTCCTGTCTGTATAATTAATTCTACTTATGTTAATTTCTGGAGTCTGAGCCATCATAGCAATTGTGTGGGTTCAGTTTATTTTTTTTCTCGTTTTTTTTTCAAAATATATGTTTTTGCCTTGATATATATGATATTATAATAAAAGTAACGTTCTACTATAAATTCTTATCAAAATTTGTGAAAATGGCCGCATCCCCGCTTGCCCCCACTATTAGAAGTCCCAAAAATACTGTAAAAAGGTCAAAATTTCTCCTCAAGACAAAATCCTGGCTACTCCAATGGTGCTGCCGAAAATGCACGAATTTTAATATTATGCAGGGACAATCAATGATCCAGTGTGGCGATCCTCCAGTGAAATTGTTATCTGTCAAATGGTCCCATTTAAGCCTATGTGTCTAGTAGTCTAGTCCTGTCTGTATAAATAATTCCACTTCTGGTAATTTTTGGAGCCCGAGCCCCCATAGTAATTTCGAAATTTCGGCGCTTATGTTTACGATGTGATATCAAGATAATTAATAAAAATTATACATTTTTGTGAAGTAGAAAAATCATGCAAATCTTATTTTTTCAGACATCTCGTTATTTTTTCTCGTTTTCGAGATATTTACTTACAAAATGTATCAGTTTATCTAAGAACACCCTATACTACACACTAACATCTGGAAAATTAAACATTTTTTTGTGCGAATTTTCGTAAACAAACCATGTTTAAAAAAAAATAACTTATACTAACAATCTGTTTACCTTCCTCTTCAGGCACTACTCATATGACAAAAAAAATCGAATTTGTTTGTACTACATAATAAGCAAATATGATATTGGATTAACAGGGTAAATTCTTACCGTTTTACAGTAGCAAGATCTCCTCTTTCGGCGTGCAACAAAAAAGTTTTCTCAATCTGCGATAAAGGTCTCTCGATAGGATCATTGAGCAATGAAGCTGGGTCCAGCTCGTCATCGAGCTTTTCAATCAAATTTTCTTTTGACTCGGTAACTTTCATGCTTAACAATTTAAGTTGCTACATTACAGGACACTAGTAATTGTAGTAAAGTAAACTCAAAGTCAATAGAAGGAAATCCCTCAAGTTCGATCGATTTAATTTTAATTTGATTAAAATGCATGAAAATGATATTTGAGGTAAGGTCACATTATTATTTGTTTTCCCTTGGGAAATTTCAATGGAAAATTGAGTGGATATTGGAATGAGCAACTAGTTTTTGCGTGGTTTTTAGTAACGAAGGGCTTATATAAAACTTTAAGTTGTTCTGTAAATGAAATTAAAAAGATAGGAATAGGCATTTTGGGACAATTGTACAATGTGAGTAGGTACCATTTTCTTGAGAAAACAACCACCAATTAAATATTTTTATTTATTTTTGTCCGCAGAAAAAAGTTCTGACCTTGTTCCATGTTTTGTAGGACATCAGGTTAATCCAATTTGCTCTAATAACTTAAACTGATTAAATCTGAAAAAAAAATGTACAATATTTCAAATTTTTTACACAAAGATATTTCGGCTATGGTGAACATTTAAACCAATATTTTTAGTGCCATGACAAACAAAGATGTAACTTTTAATAATTGGTATTATTTTTATTATATTGTTAAATATTATTTATTATTAGGACGATGTTGAAGCTGATAAAGCTAAACCCACTATAATAGCTCTTTTTAATAATCTCTCAAAAATGTTAACTTTAGAAGAAAAGAAATATTTACTCGCTATTGAAAGGGGCGATCTACCCAACGTACGGAGGTAATGTTATTGCAATTTATAATTTCCAATTATTTACAATACAATTTTGAAGAATGTTACAAGCCAACCAGAAAAAAACCTTGGACATTAACTGCGTAGACAGTTTAGGACGTGGTGCCTTAACAATAGCAATAGATCAAGAAAATTTGGAAATGGTAGAGCTCCTAGTAGTAATGGGAGTAGCCACCCAAGATGCCCTTTTGTATGCAATTAGTGTTGAGTTTGTTGAAGCTGTTGAGTTATTATTGGAACATGAAGAGCTCATACACAAAGAAGGAGAATTATATGTTAGTAATAGAATTAAATTAAAACATTTGTCTTTGTTATGAATGGAATTTTTAGAGTTGGCAAAAAGTTGATATTAACACAGCCCTATTCACTCCTGATATCACTCCTTTAATACTTGCTGCTCACAGGAACAATTATGAAATTTTAAAGATACTGTTGGATAGAGGAGCTACTATACCAATGCCACATGATATAAAGTAAGTATTTTTAAATTAGTTTTGCCTTCTAAATACTATTTTAGGTGTGGTTGCGATGACTGCATCATTCAATCGGAAAAAGACTCGCTAAGGCACTCCTTATCCAGATTAAATGAATACAAAGCATTAGCCAGTCCGTCTTTGATAGCTTTATCTTCTGGCGATCCAATGTTGACAGCTTTTCAACTTTCTTGGGAGCTACGAAATTTGGCTTTTGCAGAACCGGTGAGAATTCAAATAGATTTATTGTATAGGTACTGAGCTACCTTATGATTAGGATTTTGGAAACCTTTGAAAGGTCATAACTTTTTTTCTATTATAGATAGAAAGCTGTATCTTTCACTGAAAATTATCCTCTTCAAAGGGCTACAATCCCTAAAAATTTCAGCTCATTGACACTTATAGTTCCTGAGATAAAATCGTGTTAAGCAATTTGGGGTGATTTATCAGTTTTTCAATTTTTCTGAGTGCCTTTTTTTTATAGATTTCGGCAAATCTAAGAATAATTCTGTGAATGGAGTTTGTGGGATATTGATTGATCATTAGGATACAAAATCTCGACAAAAAAAAATTTGAAATTTCATCGTTTTAGTAAGAAGGTACCTACCTTATGATTTACATTTTGGAAAACTTTGAAAGGTCATAACTTTTTTTCTATTATAGATAGAAAGCTGAAACTTTCACTGAATTTAATCCCAATCAGGGGACTACAATCCCTGGATAGAAAGCTGAAATTTTCAGCGATTCTTATTCCAGTAGAGGACTTCAATCCCTGAAAATTTCAACTCATTTGGACTTATAGTTCCTGAGATAAAATCGTGTTAAGCAATTTGGGGTGATTTATCAGTTTTTCAAGTTTTCTGAGTGCCTTTTTTCATAAAATCCAGCTCCAAATTACAGAATAATTTATTGTATGGAATTTGGGGAATCCTAAAGGACTATTAAGACACAAAATCTGAACAATTTTTTTAAGAAATTTAATCGTTTTAGTAGGTAGGTACTTAGAACATAATAAAATTTCAGGAATCCAAATCAGAATACATGGATTTGAGGCGTCAATGTCAAAAATTTGCAGTCGATTTATTGCATCAATCCAGAAGTTCAACTGAGCTAGCGATAATTTTGAATCACGATCCGGATAATCCTCCATACAAGGAAGGGGAGCATATGAAACTTGCTAGATTAGAACTGGCAATTATGTACAAACAGAAAAAGGTAAAATATCAAACAATTTAATTATGATTATTAATAATAAAATATTATTGTTTTAGTTTGTCTCCCATCCAAATATCCAACAATTACTAGCAGCGCTTTGGTATGAAGGTGTGCCTGGATTTAGACGTAAATCTAATTTTCATAAATTGATGATTATTGTAAAGGTGGCCTTACTTTTCCCATTATATTGCCTTTTATATCTTGTTGCTCCAAATACTAAAACCGGAAAACTTATGAGGAAACCCTTTATGAAATTTTTGATACACGCTTCATCATACCTATTCTTTTTGTGTAAGAATAAACATTTTCAATCAACAACAATAACATTAATTTTTAATTTAAAGTGCTTCTTATTTTGGTATCTCTACGAGCAGAAGATTTGTTTTTTGAATACTTCGGATCGGAATCAATGAAAGCTTACGTCTTGGAAAAATATCAAAAGCAACGAGGAAATAGTCCAACGTTTCTAGAATACGCAGTTTTATTGTACGTGATTGGATTTATTTTAGAAGAAACTCAAGAGATGTTCACAGAAGGCATAAACGAGTATCTCAGGGATTTATGGAATTTTATAGATTTTACTAGAAATCTTTTTTACGCATTGACGTTTGTACTGAGAGTGGTGGCTTATGTACAACAAAATTCTGAAATCCAAAAGGATCCGACCACTGCTTTTCTTCGCAGGGAAGAGTGGAACGCATTCGATCCTCAGCTGATTGCTGAGGGGTTGTTTGCTGCTGCAAATATATTTAGGTATAAAAATGCAAAGAGATGCTTCTCATAGAAGTTTCAAATTTTTCTACGTGTACTTACAATTTTTCCTTAGCTTCACTAAATAAGTATTATTGTATTACTTTTAGTGCCTTAAAATTGGTCCATCTATTCTCGATAAATCCCCATTTGGGACCACTTCAAATCTCACTAGGTCGAATGGTTATCGATATCGTAAAATTCTTCTTTATTTATTCTTTGGTTCTTTTCGCATTTGCATGTGGTAAGTGTTTGAAAACTTTTATTTATTTGTGTAATCTTATCAAAATTTTTTAGGCTTAAACCAGCTTTTGTGGTACTTTTCGGACTTAGAAAAGCAAAAATGTTACCACTTACCAAACGGTGAGCCGGATTTTGACAATGCTGCAGATTCTTGCATGAAATGGAGAAGATTTGCTAAGTAAGAATACATAAATCATGCTTAATCAAAAATCTAACGTTTTTATTTATATCTATAGTGTCTTTGAATCTTCCCAATCATTGTTTTGGGCTTCGTTTGGTATGGTAGACTTGGACAGCTTTGAACTTGCTGGCATAAAAACCTATACCAGATTTTGGGGCTTGCTAATGTTTGGTTCTTATTCCGTTATCAACGTAATCGTTTTACTCAATCTTCTTATTGCTATGATGTCAAATTCCTATGCTGAGATTGAGGAACATTCAGATGTAGAATGGAAATTTGCCAGAACTAAATTGTGGCTGAGTTATTTTGAAGAATCTGGAACTTTACCGCCACCTTTTAATATTTTTCCTAAGCCGAAAGATTTTTTGAAACTTTTTGGCCTAAGGAAAAAAGATAAATGTAGGAGGATGTCGACTAAGGTAATATTTTTCTAGATTTTTAAATTGATTCAGTGGAAAACAACGACAAATAATGAAAAATACATTCTGTCATGTTTTGATATTTTTTGGAAAAACAAGAAAAGAAAAAATCTTGATATTTTTGGAGTGAAAATAGGAAGGTCAGAAGTTCATTATACTAGAATTTCAAATTGATCCAGTGAAGAACAGCGACATCAGAAATTCTAGAAAAATCGATTTCCAATAAGTCAAATAATGAAAATACACTCTATAACTTTTTTTTCATCAGAGATAGAAAGCTGTAATTTTCAGCAATTCTTATTTCAGTAGAGGACTACAATCCCTGAAAATTTCAGCTCATTTGAACTTATAGTTCCTGAGATAAAATCGTGTTAAGCCAGTTGGGGTGATTTATCAATTTTTATTTCTAGAGACGAAACAGAGAAGAAAAAGAACGAGACTACAGATACACTGCAGTAATGAGAGCTTTGATTTGGAGATACGTATCTGCCATGCACAGAAAATGTGACGAAAACGAAGTTACTGAAGACGATATAAACGAATTAAAGAGTGACATTTCGTCGTTCCGTTACGAACTAGTTGAATTATTAAGTAAAAATGGAATGGATGTATCTTCTGCAGAAAAAAAGGAAAAAGCGATTTTGGGTAAAAGAATGAAAATTTGGGAGAGGAGGTTAATGAAAGATTTCAAAGTTGTACCAGTGGCTGTAGAAGAAAACGAAGAATTGTTTTCTCCAGTAGAAGGAGAAACTTCGCTTGCCAGGTAAAATTTTTTACAACTTTCAAATAATAAATAAAAAAAATTGGTTGTAGATTTAGACGTGTTGCAAAAATGGCAGTACTTAACTCTAGCTTGAACAAATGGCAGGAAGTTGTAAAAGGTGCTTGCACTGCGTGAGTATTCAAAAAATTGTTTCATAATTTTGTACTTATGTGAATGATCATTTAGATCTCAAATTGGCCGATGTCATACTAGAGACTCAATAAAAAAGCAGCAAAACTTGCAAAAGGCAATCACTGAAGCTAAAAGATTATCGTCAAAAAGTCCTGTTTCATTGGTATTACCTGATTATACTGGAGCTGAAATATTAAATTTGGTCAAAAATGATCGTAAGTGAGGAAGTTTAATATTTTCAATTATTATGAAATTATTTGTTTTAGCTCATATTACTTCCAAAGTTACCATAATTGAACCAGAACAACATTTTTTGTCACATGAACCACCTGATTTAATTAATTTACAAAGTCCTACGCAAAATTCTCCTGTAGCAATCTTGAAAAATTCAGAAACAAATCAATTGGAGAATAAACAGGAGACAATAATTAATATTAATCCACAACCTATTAAGAATTCTCCAAAACTAAGTCCAATAATGGAAAAATCAACTTTGCTACCTGCAGACGAAGTTGAATCTAACGTGGCTTCATTGAAGCAAAAATTTGAATCAGGAAGTACAAAAGATAACGAAGGATTTTCTTCTGACGATTCTGAGAGCAATAAAGACAGTTGCGATGAGTTGGATAGAATTTTATCAGCAGAAACTGTACCAGAAATTGTGATTGACGGAATTGAAGAAGAGAAGAATATTGAAAAAATACCTCCAAGACCTAAAAGTCCTTGGCCATCTGAGTCACCTCCAAGAGCTGTTACTCCAATGAGTCAAAGAAATATTCAACGGATCTATGCGGCTCCTAAAAGTCCCTCCAAATATGGATGGATTTAAAAAAAAAAATGCATTTATTTATTTTAAACAAAACATTAAGTATATTATTGTCATAAAAGCCTTAGGCCTGCCTTATAAGAGGTAGATAGTTTTTTTCAAATATATATATTCTATTATAATTCAGATATGTCATTCTTCTTGAAGTCCTCACATGAATTTGATCTGTTGACCAACTTGAATACCTTATTGTCATGTTTTTTGAGAATTAGTTTCTGAGATAAAGATGGTATAAAAAGATTTGGGTTGTAGTTTTCATCTTCTACTTTTATTCCATTGAATTGCCTTACAATAATACTAGTCAAGTATCCTATTGAAAATGTTATTACTAGGCCAATTACGCCGTTATACAAATAGGATACTCTATAGAGCCAGGAATAGTCACTAAAAATATTTATTATTATAGAGCGAATAATATAGCTTATGTAGATTTTTTACCTTTCATTAACTTGAATTGTTATTATATTATTTAGCAAATTATTATCATTACAACCATCAATCGAGGTTGGCAATGGGTTTGGTGGAGGTTTTGGGGCAAAAGCCAACCACATAGATACAGCCATTCCAGCTACAAGTCCCGTTAGAGAACCCTTGAAAAATCAAACTTAAAATCCTAATCATAGAACAAATAAATCTTACCGATTCGTTGGCAGTTAGAGTAAACATTCCGAGTGAAAACAGGCCTAAAATGGGTCCACCTACAGCTCCGAAAATCGTCAAGGCAGCTTTAAGTAAGGCTCCCAAATGCTGGACCAAAAACGAAACTCCCAAGCAGAGAATTCCGAAACCCATGGCCATGCATTTTGTTAGGGTTGCAGCTTTTTTCGGAGACAGTTCGGGTTTGTTTAGGTATTTACTAATCGGCTAAAAATAATTTGTTTTCTACAAAAGAAAAAAATCTCAAAAACAACTTTTTCTAAAAATTTAGCCAATACTGTGTACAACTTTTGTTGGGATGTCAATATATAAAAAAAAAACACCCTGTACTTGAACAGTAACTTATTATTTAAAGTCGGAATTTCTAAGATTATCCACTTTTTGTCAATTTGCCTATTAACAGGAATTAGTAATGTTACTTTACCAAACTAGTAATATAATGTGACAAGTTATTCAAGTACAAACGAGTGGATTGTTGCGGAACTTATGGGTGGACATCTATTCACCAATATGTTGTTTAATTACGATACTAACCTGACTCACTCAAATGTGAGTTATTCTCATTAGTTTAAAAACTACACGTTTCAGGTAAATGTCTTACTTGAACAGTTCAACAGTATATTGGTGAGTAGATGGCTGCGGAACTCGCTGCGCTCGTCCCGCAGAGGTCCACCCATAAGTTCTGCAATAATCCACCTATTTGTACTTGAACAATAACTTATTATGGAAAGTCAAAATTTGTAAGATTATCTACTTTTTGTTAATTTGCCTTTCAACAGGAATTACTAATGTTACTTTACCAAATTAGTAATATAATGTGACAAGTTATTCAAGTACAAACGAGAGGATTATTGCGGAACTTATGGGTGGACTCAGCCATTTATTTACCAATATGTTGTTCAAGTACAATACTTACCTGATTCATTCAGTTGTGAATTTTTCTAATTAGTTCAAAAACTATAGGTTTCAGGTGAGTGTCTTATTTGAACAGTTCAATAGTACATTGGTGAGTAGATGGCTGCGGAACTCGCTGCGCTCGTCCCGCAGAGGCGAGCGCAGAGGCCCACCCATAAGTTCTGCAATAATCCACTTATTTGTACCTACTTGAACAATAACTTATATATTTAAGACTATCAATTTTTTGTCAATTTGCCTTTCAACAGGAATTATAGTAATGTTACTTTACCAAACTAGTGATATAATGTGACAAGTTATTCAAGTACAAACAGGTGGATTATTGCGGAACTTATGGGTGGATTCAGCCATCTATTCATTAATATGTTGTTCAAGTACAATACTTACCTGATTCACTCAGTTGTGAATTTTTCTCGTTAGTTTAAAAACTATACGTTTTAGGTGAGTGTCTTATTTGAACAATTCAACAGTATTTTGGTGAGTAGATGCCGTAGATGGCACATTATATTACTAGTTTGGTAAAGTAACATTACTAATTCCTGTTGAAAAGCAAATTGACAAAAAGTGGATAATCTTACAAATTTTGACTTCATATAATAAGTTGTTCAAGTACAAATAAGTGGATTATTGCAGAACTTATAGATGGACCTCTGCGGGACGAGCGCAGCGAGTTCCGCAGCCATCTACTCACCAATATACTGTTGAACTGTTTAAGTAAGACATTCACCTGAAACATGTAGTTTTTGAACTAATGAGAATAACTCACATTTGAGTGAGTCAGGTTAGTATCGTAATTAAACAAAACACTGATGAATGGATGGCTGCGGAACTCGCTGCGCTCGTCCCGCAGAGGTCCACCCATAAGTTCCGCAATAATCCACTTATTTGTAATGCTTCTAGCTTTTTTCAAATGGGATATGCCCTATATTTCATTTTATATTCTTGAAGATATTTGATTGAGCAATTTTTCATATATTCGGTTCCAAAAATTGTAAAAATACTATCCTACTACTGATTTTGTGAATCATTCTACCTATACAGGTGAAAGCTATAGGTAAAATTTGAGGTACTTGACTTGGTTTTTCTGATAGTATTTTTAAAATTTTCAGAAACAAATATGTTGCAGACGGCTCAACCAAACACAGATAAACTATATAGATTTGGAATTGGGAAATTGTGCTCTTCAAGAATATAGAACCAAATATTGCGCATCTTTGAAAAAAGCTGAAAGCATTCAACATTTCACATTTCTGACATTCAATTTTTTATGGATTCTAAAAATTTAGCCAATATACTGTACAACTTTTGTATTTACACCTTTCATCTACCTGTAAAGGTGAAGGCTGTAGGTGGGGTGTCTATAAATAAAAAAAACACCCTGTAAATACATACAGGGTGTACCATTTGAAACGTAACAGGCTAATCTGATGCCACGTTTATTTTTTTTTTAAATCGCTCGTACATGTAATTTGATTTTTAAAGGGGGAAGATTTTTGTAATCCTTTTCAGCATATCAACTTCAACTCTCTAGGCGGGGTAGGACCAACCCTCACTATTTCAAATGGAACAAGGGGTCGAGTGATACCTTTTTCTCTTTTATTTGATGTCATTTGAAAGAAAATTGAACGCCCTTTTGAAACAGGTATTACTCGAACCCCTGTTCCATTTGAAATGGTGAGGATTGGTCCCACCCCCGCTAGAGGGTTAAGTTAGTGCTGAATAGATTTCAAACAATCACACAATCAAATTACGTATACGAACGATTAAAGAAAAATAAAATAAAAGTGACATCTGATATTTAGCCTGTTTCGTTTTAAATGAAATACCCTGTATACATATACTTATGTATTCGTTACCTCGGATAACCGGGCTTCTACTTTATGTATAACATTTCCATAAGAACCTACCTTATAGTAATCTTCCATGGTAACTGCAGCAACACTATTCAATGAAGCCGATATGGTAGACAAAGAAGCGCTAAATATTCCAGCAACGAATAAACCAGCTAAGCCTGGAATATGGCCCATAGTGTCAACCACATAATACGGCATCAACTTCAATTGAAAAAAAATCAATCTATTTATGGTACATATTTTATTCTACTTACTTACTTGATCCATACTAGAAATATACCCTGCCTTAACAGGATCACAGTCTTTATATCTGGAATAAATTGCTAATCCAGAAAACGAGGTGGCTATGCCCAACAGGCAAAAAATCGGCCAATTCAACCACAAAGCTTTTTGGGCTCGTTTTAAGTCTTTCACCGTTAAGTATCTTTGGATTTGAGTCTGATTCACTCCGTACAAAGACAAATATAAAACACCACCTCCAATCACTAGTGAAAACCAGGAATGGCGTATAGTTGGATCTGGATTAAAACTAATATGGGAATTTGTTTGTAAGTAATATTATTGTAAAACTTACTTAAATATATCAGTTCTGTTGCCTAGCTCGGCGATTTTCCAAATATTGGCGAATCCCCCGTGAGCAACTAGAGCTGAAATTATTATGCTAAATACTCCAAGGAACATAAGGAGTGATTGGAGGACGTCGGTAAGTATCACAGCCTTCATTCCACCAATTGTAGAATAAAACATACAAACCAAACCAATGGAAAGTACTGCAGTAAGTCTACTAATCCCTGTAACTGCTTCTAAGGCCAATGCTGGAGCGTAAATTACAACCCCCGTATATAATATCATTTGGAGGGTGTATGATAATGAGGTTGCCAGTCTTGCTGTTTTGCCAAAACGCATTTCTAAGTACTAATGGTGAGTGATTTTTTTTAAAAAATTTATTTAATTGATAACAAATTTATTCTTACCTCGTATGCACTAGTAGTTTGAAGCTTAAAAAATATTGGTAAGTACAAATAGGCAGCTATTGGTGTAAAAATTAAATGTCCTAAATAGATTAATATAAATTGAAAGCCAAATGAGTAGTTTTCGCTAGATACTCCTAGGATTGTTATGGCTGACATAAACGAAGCCATAAGAGATATTGCTACTGTGTATATCGACATATTTTTGTCAGCGTGTAAGTATTCCTAAAAAAATCATTTTTTTTTTTTTGGTTTGAAGGTTGATTCTCCTTGGTTGAGAGAAAGAAATTTATACCTGGGCCGCAAAAAATTTTGCGAGGGCAGGCTGATTTTTCCAGGGCTGATTGGGGAGTGTGGCCTGAGTATTGAGCAAAAAAATCACACTCGAAAGCTTTGTGCGTTCGGCCCTATTGGCCTTTTTCTTATTTTTTTTTTTCGACAAAATTACTTTTACAAAACTTGTAGATAATTACATTCTGATCAACTTTGCCTCATGACTTTTTTTTCTAACTATTTTACTTTAGGCGCTGTGGCCATTTTAGTGCTTCAGAATTCGTAATTAATAGTTATTTATGTATCAAGGGAATTATGAGAGTGTTAATACCCCAGGGCAAAGTTTGTGTCCCGAGGGCCTTCGGCCTCACTACCTTCGGCTCGCAAACCTACTACTTCAGCACAAAAAAGTAAAGCTTCTACTCCCAATACAACAAATATACTATTTGTCAGTTTTCAAACAGGTATGTAACAGGTCCCAGTATAGTCATATAGTATTTGTAATACCCATTTAGAATAACCCCATCCTTATTTATCAATCACGAATCAGATGAAACAAAAAATTACCAACAAAAACGAACTTCGATTGCTAATACGTCAATTTCATGTACGTACAAATAGGAAATTCCTAACCTAATTTTATTTGTGTGTCGAGAAGCGACATACGTTTTGTCACTATAACGACTGGTACTTCTAAATAGGTATTAAAAATTCTATATATAATATCACAAGAGAAAAAAAATTGTTGGCAAAATTTTCGACTGGTATGAAAGTTTGTTGCTTGGCAATTTCGCTAATGATATTTTTGACTATTCCACTAGAGTGTATTACACCGGTTATACAACTCAATGTACATTATTCCCATATGACACGAGAGGCTTAAAAAGTGATAAGCCTTGTGGGATTATCGCGCTTGGTGGCAATTATGGCAAATTCTATTATAGACATTTTTTTAAATTTTAAAGTATTAAATTTTAGTTCGTTGTATAACCTTTTGAATACCACTCGATGTTTCAGGATTACCTAATACTTTTACCTGACACTCAACGCGTTACCAACAACACCAATCCTCCTTCGGAGTCGTGGTGTTGCTGCGTAACGCGTTTCGTGACAGGTAAAAGTATTATCCGGTAATCCTGAAACCTCTTGTGATATTACATTCGACAATAAATTTGGAATTCAGCTGACAATATTGCTACCTGGACAATACCAACAACATGGTATTTCAGCGACCATTTTTTGACATTGTCAAACTGATATTTTTAATCTGAAGTAGAAAAAATTGTGTAGGCAAAATTGTTCTCAAAGTTTTATTCAAGTTTTTTGCTTTTCGGCAATTTCGCGAATGACATTTTTGATAAAATCACTCGCCTGACGGCTCATGATTTTGTCAAAAATGTCATTCGCGAAATTGCCAAGCAACAAACTATCATACCTTCCGAAAATTTTGCCGACAAAAGTTTTTCTCTTATGATATTATACAGTGTGTCCGAAATTCGAGTCTCTACATAAGGATTTCGCTTATTATGAGAGATATACAGAGGGGCTCAAATCAGGGCCGTAGCCAGGGGCGGGGGGCATTGGGGGGCAATGCCCTATCTTTCAAATGATGATACACTGTTTCAACCGACATGAGAACCGTTCTAGAACGGTAATTTTCAGTCGATCAATTGGCCCTACCATAAGACGAACGGAGCGAGCGCTCCAGGCGCCAGACCTCGGGGGGCGCCTTTAACAAGTTTCTTAGGGATAGAAAAAAGAGAAAAAAATATTTTTGCTTTCAGTCCTGTCTTCGTTTTTCGATATTTTGCTATTCTGCTTGCGAGCAATCTTGTGGTTAGTATGTGAATCTCATGTGAATAACCTGTCGTGACTTTTTTTTTTGAGACGCGGACGGATCGCCGGCGTGGCGTCGCCCTTACCCGATCATAATCACGATATTTCGGAATTAGAACATTTAGAGAAATAATGTGTGGATAATGTGTTCGAGAAAGTTCTTGGATAGTGATAATGGTCACCCGAAAGCATCAGTCCTGCAGACCTCAGCATTAAATAGTTGGCAAGATACCTACGTTCCCTAATATCTGGACAGTTTTCTGTATTTTTGTAGCATTCCTATTACATTGTCGAGAGGTGAACGGACCTCAAGTTAGCTCTAGGGCGGGTTTTATAAAACTACTTTGAGAGTTAACTTAAAGTTAACTTCTGGAATTATATGTAATTCAAAAAGCTAACTTCAAGTTGTCAAAGCATTTTAATAATACCCGCCCTAAGTTAATTTAAACGTATCTTAGAACTTAACTCTAGCAGAAGACAAACCTTCTAATCTAGCCCCGCTGTCCATTGGAAATGATATAGCTCAGACATTGTCATATGGAGAAATCATAAACATGTATGCAAACAGCAATTTAGCTAAAATTTCGTATATTTTGTTTCTTCGATGTTTATAAGTGTTATTAAGTGATATTACCAAAGTTGATTATTGATTCATCTCATCAAAGAATGTGAACAGAATATGTTAGTAAATAAGAGAACTTCGTATCTAATTGTTAAAGTGGTGATTACTGATCTCTTTAAAAAGTAAATATTATGATAATTTTTTTTGTCATTCTACTTCAAATCAACTCTAAAAAAAAAGATTAGGTAGGTATAGGATTTTCACGCTATATTTAGGATGACGTCACATTTAGTTAATTTCTGCTGCAAATCTGACAAAACTAAAAGTACTTCCTAGCGCATTTAAAGTAGGGGAATTTCAGATGTTTCTGGTTGGCAACGGCGCGCGATGTTGCATGATTTAACTGAACATTTTCTAATAAATAACTCGTGTCGATGCATTTCGTTATCTTTAGCTGTCAGTGGTCTTGATAATTCATTATGACATTCTGGTAAATTATAAGAAAACAAATAGGCATTGACAACATTGTCATTCCTTGTTCTCTGACGTCATCCTAAATATAAAGTAAAAAACCTATAGCAGCGTCCAACGAACATATGTTTTCAAATTTCAATTGATAAGATAGATAGAGACATTGGATATGTTCAAAATCCATGCTCGCGCATGCGAATCATATTTAAACTAGGGGCGGCGCCAAACACGGATCTCGCTCCATCCTAGAAACAGCCTCGAGCCGGCACTGTTCATTTGCCAAGGAGGATAAACGTTCAACTTATTGAAAATTAGGTGGGCAATTGGAAATTACTAGTTCTGGAACGGTTCCTACCTATGTCCATTGGACCACAGCTAATGAATGGACCTGAAATCGAATGAGTTGGTAGGCTATGACATTTTGCCAGTGTAAAACACTTTAGTGAAATAGGCAAAAAAAACATCATTTTGATTTCACGCTTGTTTTTTCACCGAATAGTGATGTAATGTATCATTTCTTGGACTGAAACCGAAAACGTAATAGAGTACATTACCATTAATTTGATTGAAGTTACAATACTCTGCAGGTTTGCTATTTAATTTTTTTGCGAATTCTGGAGCACTAAAATGGCCGCAACGCCTAAACTAAAATAGCTAGCAAAAAAAGGCATGAGGCAAAGTTGATCAGAATGTTATTATCTACAAGTTTTGTAAAGGTCATTTTGTCGAAAAAAAAATAAATAAGAAAAAGGCCAATAGGGCCGAACGCTCAAGGCTTTCGAGTGTGATTTTTTGGCTCAATACTCAAGACACCAGTCTTCAATCAGCCCTGAAAAAATCAGCTTGCCCTCGCAAAATTTTCTGTAAAACCCATAAATTTCTTGGCCTAATTGAAAAATACCAATTATCCTTGACTTACCTCTACAGTTTTTTGTCTTCCACCTGTGAATCTATAATAAAGGCCAATACTGGATGATGTTAAGAGTACCAGTATTACAACAACATAGTCCCACACGCCAAATTCTGCTTGCACCTTCATTTTGTCTTAAGATAATGCGTTAGTGAGCATCTATACAAATCACTAAAAAAAATATTTAATGCTTAGATTATGAACTAACAACTGGTCAGCAAGAAAAGTCGCATTGGACTATTATACCATTCTAAATGATTGTTTTTATTGTGTTGCGAGGCCAATAAATTAATTTTTTTCTGTTTGCACTTTATTATTGAATTGGTTGATGGCTCGTGTGTGTCATAATAATTTGTGTGGTAATCGATATGGCGCTTGAAAAAACAATGATTTAGAATAAACTATTGTGAATTAATACATGCGAGCGTAGCTGAGGATTTTGTTTGCGATGGAAAATCCAATGATTATTGTAATAGTTTCCTGTTATTATTTCAAAGGTTCCTGAATTTTTTCAAAAAATGAACATAGAAATTCAAGATACAAGAAATACAACAAATTCAATTGAAAAATATGAACTGAAAGTGTAAAAATTAATAATTTTTCTTTTATATTTCTTTATGTTTAGCATGCCAAACCTTTTAAATTCCTCACTAGATAGAAATATTATTGTCGACGCCGTCAAAGTGTGACTTTTTATCGTTTCAATAAGGTCATATACTGCTAACTGCTAAATACAAATTTTTTTTCATGAGAAACAATAAATTATTTAAATATTTTAGCAGGTTATCATGTTATTTAATACTACTTACCGCTATGTCATTAAGTAATAAATTTGGATAAGGATTTATTATAATTTTGAGTTGATCAATTGCCAATTATTGATATGTATTTGAAATGGTATTATGGTGAAGCCAAATACAAATACCAATAAGTGAATGAATAATAATAATTATCTCACATACTGATATTATATCTACGTCACTGTGAACTATGTGATCATTGATTTTATCCTCATTTTATAAACTTCAATGCCATCTATTTCTAAAACTTATACATGTAATAGATTATTGGAATGTAAAGCACTAATCACCTTAGAATATTTGTTTCAAATAAAAAAATCACAGTACAATAATTAAAAGATAATGATTTAAAATAAGCAATAAAGTTGCTCAATCCTCTGATTCCTCCATCTATTCGCAGCCTACCGAATCAAATACTTGAAGTAAGAAATAAATGTATAAGTTTCCTTTACAAATTCGTAGGCCTTGGGATTGGGAGGAGTGGTCACACGCTAGGCAGAAGGTATTTTGGTTTTGGTTTGCGCATTTTATTTATTTATTTATCTTCCACAAAATCTTCATAGATTTTTTTTTTGTTTTTATCAAAGTTCCGCGTCAGATAATTTCAAATAATTACACAACCACTACACACTTTTACAATCTAAAAATTCCTCCATATACAAATATGTCTATTGCCTAATATTTAAATTCTCTTTTTATAACGGGAATGTATTTGTGTTGTATTCAAAGCTAATTAATTATTAAAACTGTGATGATGGAATTGTGTGATTCATAATAAAATTTACATGAATTTGTAGCATTTTATAAAGTTGTGTTGTGAATTCTACAATTAAACTAGGTATGATATATTTCTTAAAATTTTTTGACTTCAAATTCAATTCTTGATAAATACAAACATTGAAACATGTTTATTTGAGATTGGCCTTCTTTTGACCAATTTATATTCCCTAGTTAATAATTTGGCTTCAAGCCAAATCAAGTTCAACTGAAGTAAACTTGAGTTATTTTCATCTCATTTCTTGTCTAGATTTTTATTTGAAGAAGAGAGAGTTAACCGAAATTGCTGCCACGTATTTTTCTTTGAATTAGGCTCATGTCAAGTTTATGTGAATACAGCAACTGAAGGTTTGTAACTGAAATATAATGTTCAATTTTAGGCATTCAATTTAATTTGCTCAGGAATTGTCTATAGACAAAGCTATAGATTAAAAATCCCTATGTTTTTATTTTTCAGGGATTAAAATTCAATCAACTTGTTTTTCATTTACTCATCATAATTACTATATGGATGTATTTTAAAATGAAAAATATATAAAGACATTTATTATGTACTATATGTTTTTTTTTTTTTAGAAACATTTATTCAATTCAGATTTACAATCATTTGCATATTCCTTATTGATTAAATCCTTTAATCAGTGATACAGTCACTGATGGTAACAAGGATAAAAAAAATCTAAAACTAAAACTAAGCAACAGTGATATAATATACCATACTATAACTAACTACCATAATTTGATGAAAATTTTTATTGTTTTTTGTGATTGAATCTCATGTAGCTAAATAAACATGAAGCATTCTTTTAAATTTTAGAAATTTCTTTATTGTTTTGATTTGTGTAGGTAATGTATTATATTATTTTGAAGCTTGGTACATAGGATTGTAAAGTCCTTTGTTAGTTCTGATCAACTCGTGGTAGATATTGCCGTGGTTTCTTGTGAAGTGATTATGAACATTTTCTGTACTTATATAGAATTTCAGAGTTTGATTTTTGTTTATTATGTGTTATATTGTAAATATATTTACATTGCTCGAATTCTCTCAATTTATTTATTTGCATTACTCTCAATTCCTCATAGGTATAAACTATCTGTATGCGTTAGTCGATCATAATTAAATAATTCTTTCAAAACCTTATTTTGTAGTATTTGAACTCTGAAATTCGGTAACACCACAAGTACCCCATATGGGGAGTAAGTATCGGAAGTGTGACAAAAAATAGGCATTATAAATATTTAGTTTATTTTTATATGGGATAAGTAACTCCTACATCTGTATACTGCTCCCACCATTGGTATTATTTTACTTTGAAGATGCGAAATATGCTCTTTCCAGTTGACATTTTCATCTATAATTAGCCCTAAGTATTTTATGTAGTTAACTCTTTCTAAAGGCACATTATTTAGTGTGAGAATAGGATGTTCAATCATTTTATTTTTTTGTTTAAATAATATATATTTAGTTTTTGAAACATTAATTTTGTGTTTATTATTTAATAACCAGTTAGAGTACTTAAATAAGTCAGAATTTATTTGTTGTTCTAAAATCTTTTCACAATCTCCACTGTACAACAAAACCGTATCGTCAACAAATGTATAGTATTGCGCCTTTAATCCCGCCTTGTTCAGGCTAAGAACATGTAATGAATATAATAGAGGTCCAAGCACTGAGTCTTGTGGCACCCCACATTTAGTGTTTTCAAGAAAGCTAACATGCTCATTCAGTTTAACATATTGTGTTCTATTAGTTAAGTAAGATTCCAATAAGCCAAAAATTTGACCACAAAAACCCAAGTTTTTCAATTTTCCAAGTATGTGACCTCTAGGCTAACGACATCAAAGGCTTTTTTCAAATCCACAAATACTGCAATAACAATTTTTTTGTTATCCAGATCAGTGGAAATCCTATTGACAAGGTCCATTGTGGCACTTAAGGTATTTCTATGTTTAACAAACCCATATTGATATGCATCCGTTTCTATATACTTATCAATAAATGACAACATCCTCCTCTTGATCACTTTCTCGACAATTTTAGAAAAAACGCTCACTACTGTAATGTGTCTATAGTTTTGCATAGAAGTTTTAGGCCCAGATTTATGTAATGCACTAACCCGACCTATTTTTAGTTCCTTTGAAAACACCCCAGTTGTTAAAATTCTATTCGCTAATTTTGTTACTATTTGTACTAGCTTTTCGCCCAAATTATGTACATCATAAACTGTAACCTGGTCATGGCCAGGCGCTGAACTACGTTTTAACTCATTAATGATAGACCTCACCTCTTCTGAGTTTGTAAGGTTTAAGTACAAGCTGTTATTATAATAGATTTCTTCAAATTTTAACTGATTTTCATTTCTTCCAATTCCACCAATCATCAGAGAACTAATATTATTATTTAGACTAGATCCTTTTATTAAATTATTTATAATTTTCCACTGTTTTTTTGGGTCATTGCCCGCTTCATTCCATTTATTATTAAAGTGTTGATTTTTTAATAGTTTAATTTTATTGGTTACTTGGTTTTTCTTTTTACGAAATTGCAGAGAAAGAAGATTATCATCTCTATTGCAACAGAATTTTTTTATAAAGGTTATCACCTTCTTTAATTAGTTGGGAAAGTTCAGCAGTTAACCAGGTATTGCCTTTATAACATTTAATTTTTCTTTGATATTGACTTTGTTTTTTACATAAGCATATCAAATCAATAAGGTCTTGTAAAGTATGTAGGTACGTTTACGTTAGTGAGTTTACTAGAAAATAGTTCCTTAAATTTTTGGAGATTAGTTGAAAAGTGTACATGTGTAATTTTTGGTAACATATTTTTAGACTTGGTTTTAATAGTGATTAAAAGTTTTTGATGATCAGATATCGGGTCCGCCTCTACATCTACTATACATCGGATATTTAAGCTTTGGTCAGTTATCACATGGTCTATTAAAGAATTCGATGTATTTGTTACTCTTGTAGCATATTTAGTCTCTATTTTATTACAAACATAAAAATTATTAAGGGCTAAAAGATTTTTATAACTACTAACTGTAGTTGTGTTCACTAAAAGGTCCACATTAAAGTCACCTACAATGATATGGTTTCTTGGATATCTACTCATGAGATTCTCCAAACATTTAAGCAGATTATCAAATACTGTAGAAGGGAGACGATAAAGTAAACTAAAATTAATGTTTCCCAGGGAAATGCTTACCCAGCTCATGATGTCCTCTTTCTCTGACCTTGAAAGTTCCTTAAATTGAATGCCACTTTTTATATATGCTGCCACTCCTCCCCCTCTTTTCTGTCTGCATGCATGAATTTGTTCGTACCCATCTATTTTGAATAAGCAGGCTTCGTTCTCCAACAGCCAGGATTCAGTAAGAAGAATGACATCATAACTGTAAGTGGCTGCTAAGCATTGTACTTCATCAAGTTTGTTACGTAAGCTTTGTATATTAGTATAAATCATATTGAGAGCGGTTTTTGTTAGTTTTTTAAATCATCTTCATTCCTCACTAGTTTACTCTACTATTTACCTGCTTCCTCAAAAACAAGCTGCCATTACTAATCCAAAGATACTTATATTCATTTTCTTTCTTAAAAAGTCGTGCTTTTCTAAAAAGTTCTAAGTTATATTTAGTGAGGTCATGGTTTGAGTAGATCTTGCTGTTTTCTGTAAATTCCAAGCTTTGAGTGTTTAAGGTATAACTATTTGGCGCTTTCATCAGTTTTTCTTTAACTTCATTTTTATCGAAGCATATTTTTATTGTGCTTGGCTTTTCCTCGCTTCTTCCAAACCTTATAGCTTCAAAACATTGGCCTACTAGATTCACTTGAAGTTCATCTCCAACTTTTTCCACAAGATTTTTCAAATATGTACTTCCTAGTATACCAGAATCTACATTTACGTAAAGTTCCTCGAGATAATTTTTCTAAAAACGTTAGTTTCATGTTAAGTTTATGTAAATATACGTGAATATTCCATGTAAATTAAATAGGTTAATTCTGTACCGGTCTGTAAGTAAATCTAGAACTTTATATAAGCATATACTTAGATGTCTTACGCTTTCTGTTATTGAAAATCTTATTGAATCATAAATATTTCCAATCTACAAAAAAAAAAATTGAAATTTCATCGTTTTAGTAAGAAGGTACCCCCCTTAACTTTTTTTCTATTAGCTCCTTTTCTTCCTCTTTTCACTCTGGAACTTTGGAAATTTTCCCTTGAACAGTTGTTGGAAAAATCATGAAAATGTGGAAGGTGCATTCGATTTAATTTGGCTTTAAATGTTCAAGATTTTCTCATTTTGTGATTTTTCACTGAATCAATTTGAAATTGCAGTGTATAATGGAGCTTCTTTTCTCCTCCTTCTTACTCTTAAAGTTTCGGAGTTTTCCTCTCACTTCTTTTTGAAAAATCAGCAAAATGTGAATGGGTGCATTTTTCTTAATTTGATTCTTAAAAGTTAATTTTCAAGATTTTCTTATACTGTGGTTTTTGACAGAATCAATTTGAAATTTCAGTATAATTAGCTCCTTTTCTTCATCTTTTTACACTGAAAATTTTAAAATTTTCCCTTGACTTTTTTTTGAAAAATCATCAAAATGTGAAAGAGTGCATTTTCCAGAATTTGGTTTTTTAAAAGTTGATTTTCTTATGCAGTGGTTTTTCACTGGATCAATTTGAAATTTCTGTATAATGAGCTCCTTTTCTTCCTCTTATCACAGTTTTGAAATTTTCCCATGAACAGTTTTTTGAAAAATCATCAAAATGTGAAAGAGTGCCTTAATTTGGTTTTTAAGAGTTGATTTTCAAAATTTTCTCAAGATGTGATTTTTGACACAATCAATTTGAAATTTCAGTATTATAAGCTCCTTTTCTTCCTCTTTTCACTCTGAAAGTCTTAAAATTTTCCCCTGACTTTTTTTTTGAAAAATCATCAAAATATGAAAGGGTGTATTTACCTAAATTTGGTTTTTTAAAAGTTGAGTTTCTTATGCATTGGTTTTTCACTGAATCAATTCGAAATTTCAGTATAATGAGCTCCTTTTCTTCCTCTTTTTACTTTGAAAGTTATGAAATTTTCCCATGAACAGTTTTTTGAAAAATCATCAAAATGTGAAAGAATGCATTTTCCTTAATTTGGTTTTTAAAGTTGATTTTCAAAGATTTTCTTATGATGTGGTTTTTGACACAATCAATTTGACATTTCAGTATAATTAACTCCTTTTCTTCCTCTTATCACTCTGGAAGTTTTGAAATTTTCCCTTGACTTTTTTTTAAAAAGTCATCAAAATGTGAAGGGTGCATTTTCCAGAAGTTGATTTTCTTTATGTACTGGTTTTTCCGAGAGTTTTTCACTGAAACAATTTGAAATTTCAGTATAATGAGCTCCTTTTCTTTCTCTTTTCACTGTGAAAGTTTTGAAATTTTTCCATGAACATTTTTTTGAAAAATCATCAAAATGTGAAAGAGTGCATATTTGACTTAATTTGGCTTTTAAATGTTGATTTTCAAGATTTTCTCATTTTGTGATTTTTCATTGATTTAATTTGAAATTTTGGTATAATGAGCTCCTTTTCTCCTCCTTTTTACTCTTGAAGTTTCAAAGTTTTCCTTTCATAACTTCTTTTTGAAAAATCAGCAAAATGTGAGTGGGTGCATTTTCCTTAACTATTGGTTCTTAAAAGTTAATTTTCAAGATTTTCTTATGCTGTGGTTTTTGACAGAATCAATTTGAAATTTCAGTTTAATAGATGGAAAGCTGAATCTTTCACTGAATGTCACCATTTTCAAAGGACTACAATCCCTGAAAAATTCAGCTCAATTACATTTATAGTTCCTGAGATAAAATTGTGTTAAGCAATTTGGGGTGATTTATCAATTTTTTAATTTTTCTGAGTGCCTTTTTTCATAGACTTCGACTTCAAATCTGAGAATAATTTTGTGTATGGAGTTTGGAGTATGTTGATTCACTATTAGGATACAAAATCTCCACACAAAAAAATTTGGAATTTCATCGTTTTAGTAAGAATAAGGTACCTCTCTTATGATTTTTTTGAAAAACTTTGAAAAGTCACAACTTTTTTTCTATTATAGATAGAAAGCTGAAAGTTTCACTGAATTTTATCCCTTTCAAAGGACTACAATCCCTGAAAAATTTCAGCTCATCCCCACTTATAGTTCCTGAGATAAAATCGTGTTAAGCAATTTGGGGTGATTTATCAATTTTTCAATTTTTCTGAGGGCCTTTTTTCATAGATTTCGGCTTCAAATCTGAGAATAATTTTGTTTATGGAATTTGGGATATGTTGATTGACCATTAGAATACAAAATCTCGACAAAAAAAAATTTGAAATTTCATCATTTTAGTAAGAAGATCCCGCCCTTATGATTTTTTTGAGAAACTTTGAAAGGTCATAACTTTTTTTCTATCATAGATAGAAAGCTGAAACTTTTACTGAATTTTATCCCTTTTAAACGACTACAATCCCTGAAAATTTCAGCTCATTCGCACTTATAGTTCCTGAGATAAATAGGTAAATTTAATAATATTCGCCCCTTTTATAGAATGGCATTTCCAAACAACCCAAATGATCTAAGTCCAACAATATCCCTACCCAGAACCAGTATAGGATCCGATGCAGATTATGATGACGAATTAGGTATACCGGAATCCATCAAAATTGTAGACATTGGAGACGGTCCAGTTGCTATTGAGAATTCTGATGCAGAATTAGAAGATGAAACCAATGAAGGAGGCATTCCATTCAACAAACTGCATAATTATTTCAAATTCAATTCTGTAAATCGAAATTGCTTTGTCCCATCGGAAGATATTGTAATCACTTTAACTGATTATGAAAGGGAATTGACCACTCACATGATAAATCCGAATTTGTATACAATTTCTGTAGCGCATGCAGGCTTTGAATGGATAATAAAAAGAAGATACAAAGATGTGCAAAGTATGCACCAAGAATTAGTGATGTTTAGGACTGGTTTAAATATACCTTTGCCTAGTAAAACCCACAAGAACAAACGAAAAACTTTCAAGGAAATCGTGCCAAAAAATCAAAAAGGAAAACGAAAAGCTGCTCTTCCAAGATTTCCAAACAAACCAGAAATTTTAGTAGCTTACGAAAAAATTCCAAACAGGATGAAACAGCTCCAAGACTATTTAAATAATTTAGTTTCGATTCCAATTTATAAAAACCATCAAGCAACAGTAAGAAATTTATGCCTAGATATATTGTGTTTTAAATGGAGCATTTGTAGCTAAACTTTTTGGAAGTGAGCCATCTATCATTCATAAAGGAGTTGGGTTTTAAAGGAAAAGAAGGCATAGTGAAGAAAAAATCTGGAAGCACTCATCCAGGACTATCTGGTTGTAACTTTTTTGGTTGCTACAGATCTTTATGTTGTCTTGGGTAAATTAAATTTTACTATGTATAATACAATATTATTTATTATTTTGCAGTTGTCAACGCATCTGTAAAGCCTGTTTATGCTCTCGCTGGCTAAAAAGATGGCTTTTCTTAAAAGATACATGTTTCGGTTATATAAATCCTGATACAGGCCATATTAAATGTGTTATATTATTTGATCAAGGTTTTGAAGTTGCTTCTGGAATGTATAACATGCCTTTGAACACTGGTTGGCAAGTGCAGTCACTTAGCAGATCTTTGGTGTTTAAATGTAATACTAAAAGAAAAAACCGAGAGTGGATTGATGCTTTGAGACAAACATCTGCTAGTACTGGTAAATGATTTGTTTTCCTGAAAAATTATGTAAAAATAGTTACATTTTACAGCTAAATTATTTGTTCAACCAAATCCTCACCATTCGTTTGCTCCTGTAAGGAACTCTACCACAGCTTCTTGGTTTGTGGACGGTGCCAGCTATATGGCTTCAGTAGCTGATGCGATTGAAAATGCCAAAGAGGAAATTTTCATTACTGACTGGTGGCTGAGTCCTGAGATTTACTTAAAACGACCTGCCATCGTTGGGGATTATTGGAGGCTGGATAAATTATTGCAAAGAAAAGCGGTAAGATTTTATACAATACCAGACAATTCAATTCAAATATAGGTACGTTGTTCATTTTAGGAAGCTGGGGTTTTAGTCTATGTGCTTCTGTACAAAGAAGTAGAACTGGCTTTAGGTTTGAACAGTTTTTACAGCAAGCAAAAGTTGCAAGATATGCATAAAAACATTAAAGTTTTGCGACATCCAGATCATGCCAAGGCTGGCGTGTTTCTATGGGCTCATCACGAAAAAATCGTGGTTGTAGATCAAACTTGTGCTTTTGTTGGTGGCATTGATTTGTGCTATGGTAGATGGGATGATGATAAGCACAGGTAAACTTTAGTTTTCTATTGGTTGTGAATTGGAATCTATTCTTATGGTCAAGGATAGCTTTCTTTTCAGCTCATTTGCACTTATAGTTCCTGAGATAAAATCGTGTTAAGCAATTTGGGGTAGTGCCTATTCTCATAGATTTCGGCTACAAATTTGAGAATAACTTAATGTATGGAGTATGTTGATTGACCATTAGGATACAAAATCTCGACAAAAAAAAAATTGAAATTTCATCGTTTTAGTAAGAAAGTACCTACCTTATGATTTAGATTTTGGAAAACTTTGGAAGGTCATAACTTTTTTTCTATAATAAATAGAAAGCTGAAACTTTTACTGAATTTTATCCCTTTCAAAGGACTACAATCCCTGAAAATTTCAGCTCATTTGCTTTTATAGTTCCTGAGATAAAATCGTGCTAAACAATTTGGGGTGATTTATCAATTTTTCAATTTTTCTGAGTGCCTTTTTTCATAGATTTCGGTTTCAAATCTGGGAATAATTTAGTGTATGGAGTTTTGGGTATGTTGATTGTCCAATAGGATACAAAATCTCGACAAAAAAAAATTTGAAATTTCGTTTTAGTAAGAAGGTACTTACCTTATGATTTAGATTTTGGAAAAATTTGAAAGGTCATAACTTTTTTTTCTATTATAGATAGAAAGCTGAAACTTTCACTGAATTTTATCCCAATCAAAGGACTACAATCCCTGAAAATTTCAGCTCATTTGCACTTACAGTTCCTGAGATAAAATTGTGTTAAGCAATTTGGGGTGATTTATTAATTTTTCAATTCTTCTGAGAGTCTTTTTTCATAGATTCCGGCTTCATATCTTAGAATAATTTAGTGTATAGAGTTTGTGGTATTCCAAATGACCATTAGGACACAAAATCTCAACGAAAAAAAATTGAAATTTTATCGTTTTAATAGCTATCAAGCATAAGTTACCTTGAAAATGGCTTCCTTATTGGGCATTTTTTTCTATAGACTAACAGATTTGGGTAGCATCACTCCATCCATAGACGTATCCACCCTGAAAAAAAAATCTTCAGACAGACCTTCAGGTGATATCATTTATCCAATACCAGAGCCATATTACAAAAGAACCCCTAAACCAGCAGTATGTCCTGCAAATGAAGATACGTGCCCCAAACCTGATGTACTGCCTCAACTAGAACCTGGGGATCACCTATTAATGCCACACAAGTAAAAATACCATCAACATTTTTGAATTATTTTCTAGCCAATTCATTTTAGCCCAAAAAGCCCTGTAAAACCCAACACTCCAGAATCAGAAAGGAAAAACATGTTTGTAGATTTGACTCATATGGTTAAATCTAAAGGTAAAGAGTTGATAAATTTAGTTTACACACCCACAGAAGATGAACTGGAAATTAAACCGCAAACTCCCGAGCATGAATTGGATGAAATTGACAACAAAATGCAAACTCCTGAAGAATTTATTGAGAACCTTGATGGATCAGCAAAGTTGTGGGTTGGCAAAGATTATGTGAATTTTATTGTGAAGGATTTTACAAATTTGGAATCGCCCTTTGATGATTTTATAGAAAGGGTAAAATTATTCTTATCAGTGTGCAAGTTTTATTGTAATTTTCTAGGTCACTACTCCAAGAATGCCCTGGCACGATGTATCAATGTGCGTCATAGGAGAAGCTGCCAGGGACGTGGCCAGGCATTTTATTCAAAGATGGAACGCTACTAAATTGGAAAAAGCTAAAAACAATATCGTCTATCCTTATTTGGTACCTAAAGCTTATGATGAGTTCAAAAGCATGCCTATAAATTTTCCCAATGGCACTAAGAAAGTTACTTGCCAGGTAATATTTAAATTATTGCATTATTTATTTTAAAATAAAAAATTTCAAGGTTCTCCGCAGTATAAGTACTTGGTCAGGTGGTTTTCTGGATTCTGATTATGTCGAACAAAGCATCCACGAAGCCTATATAGACACCATTACACGTGCCCAACATTACATTTACATAGAAAATCAATTTTTTATTACTCTACCTTTTCATAATCCTAATACCAGGAACCAAATTGGGGAAGCTTTGTACAAACGAATTATAAGAGCACACAAGTGAGAATTTTCCTAAAATTCTTAGTCATAATAAAAAAAATAAAAATTTTATAGAGAAAAAGCCACATTTCGAGTCTATGTTGTAATGCCTTTGTTACCAGCCTTTGAAGGAGAAGTAGGTGGAGCCACAGGTACTTCTTTACATGCAATAACTCATTGGAATTATGCGTCAATTTCTAGGTATGTACTGCCTTTACTTTTCCATACCTAAATAAATATCATGAAAATTTTCATAGGGGTAAAGATGCAATTTTAAATCGGCTCAAAGATGCTGGCATAGAAGATCCGTCTGATTATATATCTTTCTACGGCCTCAGAAATCATTCCAGATTAAATTCTGAGCCTATTACCGAGCTGGTCTATGTTCATTCAAAATTAATGATAGTCGATGATAAAACTGTGATTTGCGGTTCAGCAAATATAAACGATAGATCGATGATTGGAAAGAGGGATTCAGAAGTGGCTGTTATTTTAGAAGTAAGTTGAGCTGATATATTATTTTTTTTTTAAATCTACTATTTGTTATGCAATAGGATGAAACATTTGATGATGGTATTATGAACGGCCAAGCTTATCCTTGTGGTAAATTCGCTGGTAATTTGAGAAAGTATCTGTTCAAAGAGCACATGGGGCTTTTAGAAGAAAATTGTGAGACGGCTGAATTTGATGTAGCAGACCCAACAAGTGATTATTTTTACAGGTAAACTTTGCATTAAATTGCAAGATTTAGGTGTTAAATTATTGTTTTTTTCAGAGAAGGCTGGCATAAAACTGCCAGTTTAAATACTGAATTTTACGAAAAAGTATTTCATTGCTTGCCAACTGATAGTATAGAAACTTTTGCTGATATTAAGAGAAATAACGAAATTAAGCCGTTGTGGGTGGAACAATTTTCTAGAGCTGAGAAAATGTTGGAAAGTATTCAGGTAAGAAATATTTATTGTTTTTTCTCCTTCAATCGTTTGTTCACTCTAAACTAATTGAAATATGTTGTTAATGTAGGGCCACTTGGTACTATTGCCACTCAACTTCTTGAGTAAAGAAATTTTAACTCCCAACGCTACTTCCATGGAAGGAATAATGCCTACCTCACTATGGACTTAAAAATCTTTGCCTTACATAAGGGTATTTTTATAGCAGTATTTTTTTTATAACCGTTTATGTACAAAATACTTCAAGTTTTTATTTATTTTAAGCCTAAAATTACTAAACCTTCTGTTACAATTTTTATAAAAGTTTTTTTGCACATTCCTTATATTATTTTTGCACCACCTGTATAGAGCTTTATTTCATATTTTATTCTACCTCAAAATAATGCATTTTCAAGACTAAAAACTTTGATTTATATTGATATTGTGTAAATGTTTATTTATAATTGTTATTATTGTTTGTAACGCTAAAATTTATGGAAAGTTTCTTAGATCAAAACATTTTTATGGTAGAGAATTTAAAATTTTAACTGTTAAAACTTATTGGTAATTCATATTTATATTGAAAAAACAATGTTCTTGTTTTTGTTAGTTGAATTTTTACAAATTCAATGTAGGTACGTGTTTATTGTTAAGTTATTTTGTGCTGAGAAATAAAGTTTTCTGATATTTTTAGAAAATTAATTCTCATTTTGTTCATCTTAAGAACACATCTAAGAGAACATTTATGGTTTTTCTATTCCAGGCTTTTAATTTTCTGTATTTCAACAAATTCAAGAACAGGGAAGGGAATAAACAAAAACTGAATCACTCGAGTTCCGCAGCAGTTTATTCATGAAATTTACTCATTTAGTTCAATAACTCACCCATTTCAAGTCAGAATCTTTATTGATTAAATCAAAAACTTTTCATTTTTATATAAGATCAATTTAGGGTGAATTCATAAATTTTTCAATCTTTCTGAGTGTCCTTTTTTCATAGATTTCGGCTTCACATCTGAGAATAATTTAGTGTATGGAGTTTAAGGTATGTTGATTGACCATTAGGATACAAAATCTTGACAAAAAAAAAATAGAAATTTCATCGTTTTAGTAAGAAGGTACCTACCTTATGATTTAGATTTTGGAAAACTTTGAAAGGTCATAACTTTTTTTTCTATTATAGATAGAAAGCTGAAATTTTCAGCGATTCTTATTCCAGTAGAGGACTTCAATCCCTGAAAATTTCAACTCATTTGGACTTATAGTTCCTGAGATAAAATCGTGTTAATGAATTTGGGGTGATTTATCAATTTTTCAATTTTTCTGAGTGCTTTTTTTCATAGATTTCGGCTTCAAATCTGGGAATAACTTGGTGTATCGAGTTTGGGGGATATCAAATGACCATTAGAATGCAAAATCTCAACAAAAAAAATTTTGAAATTTCATCGTTTTAGTAAGAAGGTACCTACCTTATGATTTAGATTTTGGAAAACTTTGAAAGGTTATAACTTTTTTTCTATTATAGATAGAAAGCTGAAATTTTCAGCGATTTCTATTCCAGTAGAGGACTTCAATCCCTGAAAATTTCAACTCATTTGGACTTATAGTTCCTGAGATAAAATCGTGTTAAGGAATTTGGGGTGATTTATCAATTTTTTAATTTTTCTGAGTGCCTTTTTTCATAGATTTCTTGTGAGATGTGAGAATAATTTAGTGTATGGAGTTTAGGGGATGTTAATTGACCATTATAAGTACATTTACGTATATAGGGTTTTCGAAATAACTTGAAATAAATAGGGATTTTGGAAACCATTCAAGATACAGGGTGAACTAAATAAGAAAAAATTTGCACAATCAATTGCCTAAAAATAATCTGTCATCAACTTCTTCGCACCTACTCGGAATAGCAACGGATATACAGGGCATACAATGAACAAGAACAAAGCACTTTTTTTGCCCTATACAGGGTGATTCACATAGCCCGTGCATTGGAAGTTTTCAAGGTTGCAGCAGTAGGGGGATAAGAAACTTCAAATTTGGTTTGTAGCCATAATCAATTGTTCCGGTGTCACCTAATAAAATATTTCAACTATATAGGGTGTACCAAATGTAAGCACTAACTTTCTAATTATTTCAAATAGAAACTCGCATCTTTTTCAACATAGTTTGGTTGGCCTTGCAATTTTGAGTATGGACCACCCAAGTTTTGTCGACTTATATCTTTTATAGTTCTTGACATAAATGTCATTTTTTGTTATAAATTCCGCTGCAATTTTTTTTTTGTTAGGCCCTGTTTATGTTGGAGCTGTGATAAACGATAAAAGCAACAATACTAATGATACTATACATTAGTATCGTTGCTTTTATCGTGTATCACAGCTCCAATATAAACACGACCTTAGAACTTCTTCAATATATCTACATATACAGTCTACCTACGTGATCATTTTACGTACTTATGAAAGGATAATAATAATAATAATAATAAATAATAATAAAATTCTTTATTTGCTCAAATACAATAAAATGTTTAGCATTGTCAACGACTATACCGGGTGACAATGAAACTACTACCCACGGCGGCATTTTTTAACGGCTCGAGATAGAAATATGTAACTAGGTTTGTTAATAGGGTTGAAAATTGTGAACAATTTTAATATAAAAATAATTGAATGGCTTTTCCGGTTCCACCGGAAATGGCATTGACTTTGTTAGTTTAAATGGGACACCCTGTATATTTTTTATTTTTTGGACTCTTTGAACAATTCTAAATAACTTTTGTCTAACATACCCTATGTCAAAAATTGTCAGATTTTGAAATAGAGTGGCTCAAAAATATGTCGTAGTTCCTATTTGTTTGTATTTTACGTAGAAACTGCCATATCTGGTAAAACCGAAAAAAACATTAAATTGTTTTTATATTGAAATTGTTTACAATTTTCAACCCTATCAACAAACCGAGTTGCATATTTCTATCTCGAGCCGTTCAGAAATGCCGCCGTGGGTAGTAGTTTCATTGTCACCCGGTATAAGTGAACAAATACAGTACAGATATAACTTCAAAAGATAGAAGACACAATTCAACAATAAAGTAATAAGTAGTAATAAATTAAACAATAATAAGTGATAATACAAAACAAACAATTATTATGACAAACATATTGTTTTCCTATCTATAATTGACATAGAATTCTTCCAAAGTGTAAGGAGACAATTCTAAAAGTAACTTTTTTATTCTATTTTTGAACATAATAGGAGGCAGAGCTTTGATCTCAGGTGCCAAGCAGTTATAAAGTTTTATGCTGTTATTAATGTAAGTTTTATGAGTTAGTGTTAGTCGGTGTTGGTAAATTAATAAGTCTTCACCATGTCTAGTCGGGTAGTGATGTCTGCTATTGACTGTTAAGAATTCAGATATATGTGCTCTTGTGTAGTTGAGACACTGGTATATGAACAGACCTGGTAGGGTCAGTATTTGGAGATCACGAAAAAAAGGTCTGCAGCTTTCAGTTGGTTTCAGTCTTCCAATCGTTCTGATGGCTTTTTTTTGGATTTTAAAAACTTTTGGCCAGTCAACAGAACATCCCCAGAAAAGCAGGCCGTATGACAGCCTAGATTGAAGATAAAGGGTACAGGAGAGACTCTTAGAAAGTTGGATAATGTGGTTTTTCCAGGTCAGTCTGCTCTCGAACTGGACCCCCAGGAATTTAAGGGCCTTGGCTAAGGTTATGGTTTCGGTTTTATCAAGGTTCAAACAGAGATTGTTGTCAGCGAACCATGTGTGAAGTTTCTTAATGGTGGAAACACATGCAGGATGAAGCTGGGCAGTGTTGCAATGGTGGTCAAGGAGGGTTGTATCATCTGCGTACTGTATTGTTTTCGATTCTGGAAAAATAGATGGAAGTTCATTCACATATAGAATGAATAGTAATGGCCCTAGTATGGATCCCTGTGGTACACCTGCAACAACAGGCAGCACCGAAGACCTCTTACCATCAAGATCCACCAGCTGGTAGCGGTCTGAAAGATATGACTCAATTATATGCAGTGTGTTGCCTCTAATGCCGTAGTAGCCCAGCTTGTTTACTAGTATCTGGTGTGGCACACAGTCGAACGCTTTCGAGAGGTCACAGAAGAGATGGCCATAACCGACTCTGCCCCCTCGAAGCATCCAACTATATGCTCTACCAGGGCTCTAATTGCATCTGTTGTAGATTTTTTTTTTACGAAAATCAAACTGGTGGCTGGACAGCAGCTTACTCTTTTCTAAAAATATGGTTAAACGATTGTTTAGGCTGACCTCAATTGGTTTTGACAAGGCCGGTACCACAGAAATGGGTCTATGGTTTCCGGGGTCATTTTCATCCCCTTTTTTGAAAATAGGTACTACCCTACTGGTTTTCAACTTACTTGGGAATTTCCCACCCTCATAGCATCTGTTTATAATTATGGAAAGGGGAAGGGCAAGTCCTTCCGCGAGTTGTTTCAAGATTTTGTTGCTTAGACCAAAGACATCCTTTGCTTTGCTGTCGCTCATGCAACTCAGGATACTTACTACCTCTGCAGGTGTTATAGGAGTTAAAAAAACTGTATAGTTATTGTGAATAAATGTAGAGGTTAATTCTGATAAGGGTCAGCACCAGATTTTTGAAGATTGGCTGATATGGTGTTTGAAATGTTTATAAAGAACTTGTTGAACTCCTCTGGAGAGATTGTGGGAGGTGGATTTGAATTTTCCTTGTTACGAGAAGCTTTTATAATATCCCATATAGCTTTGGGTTTATTAGTATTGTTTAATATGTTGTTGGAAAAAAAAATGACTTTTGCCTTATTTATTTCTGACCTATACAGTTGTTTTTGTCGTTTTATTGCTTCAGAACAGTTGACATTTGGATGCCAAAAAAGTTGAAAAATATCGGGTGTCTTATTTGAAAATTAAAAGTTATAGCTATTTCCGGTTAAACCGGAAGTGATTGATCACGCAATTCGGTTTCAAAAAAACTCAAAAAGTTGCCTTATTTAAGCAGCCCAAATTTCTAATTTCCAACTTAGCTATATTAACCTTGCGTTCGGTATTTTGCTCAAAGAGCAGAGCGTGCTGAGCGGAGCCGTAATCACGTGACCAGTGAGCGAACAGAGCAGTTGAACGCTGTATAAAAGTGCCAGAAATTTTAATAAACGAACGCGAACGAGGCTGCACCGAGTACACTTTTTAAATAAACGAACGGTAAATAAGAAAGTTATAGATTGTGCCTTTGCCTTATTTCTTGTGTCACCCTGTATAAGGGTGATGATCAATTTTGAGACTTTTATGGCGTCCAAAATACAGAAAGAAACGATTAATGTAAAAATTAGAACTTTCGCTCTCCTCTAGTCGCATCCTATCTTTTCTAGCGGGCGCGCAATGCAACAAACAAGTCGATTCTCGATGTCATTACCCGCAACTTGTAAACTTAAATTATGTAATTGTTGATCGGCCAATGAACGACGTATGCATCGGGTCGAAGGAGGGAGATGACCGTGACGTCACCTAAAAGCCGCTTCCCTCTGCTCTTGCCGCAGCCCGCTCGTTTGCGACGTTGTCTAACTTACGAAATTTCTTACCGATCGAACACGATGTAGGTAGAAGAAATTCAAGGTTTTCTCTATTCAAGGCTATCGATTGCATTTCCGTTTGGCAATTGGGTTTTTTTTTTATATACGGTGAGCCCAAATTAATTATATGTACTTCTGATACTGGATATACATACTTTTTTCAAAGAAGGTACCTTAATCTTAATATTTTCTTGTGATTGGATTTTGAGTATTATTGCCAGTAGGTATTTAGTTTAAAACCACAGACTTCCTGATTAGTTCTAGTAAATAATTTTTTCTTCGAGCGTGCCTAGAACCCACTAGTATATACCACTTTTCCGCACTAGTGCGGTAAAGTCTCTTCGTCAGTTGATTGCTTGTCCGCAACTGCAATTAATGATGAAAATGATGTTAAGGGAATTCTCAATTATTTAATGTTTTCCATCTCCACTCTGTACCTACTGACTGACAAACAAAAATGAGTAAATTCTAGTAAATCTAGTAAGGAGTAGGTAGTAAATGATAATATGTAATTATAAAATTATTCGAAAAAATCCCGAGAATCGCAGCGCAGAGAGAGACAACCTAAGCAGGTTTAAAAGGCCTGAGTAGGCCTCACACGGCAACACTGGAACGTTGCGCCTGCTCCCCGCGCTTTCAAGAATCCGAGAATTCCGAGCCCCACAGTGTGTGTCCAAAATGGCAGACGGGCTGTATGCGGGAGATACTGTCGGAGAAGATTTACTAATCGAAAAACTATCATCAGTGAAAAATTACAAGACAATGAATGGAATCGAATGTGACGAAGTGAACGGATTATACTCGAATAATAATAAGCGTGCTAGCTGCAGTGCTATGTTGTTTAGGGATTTGTGTACGAAAAATGGGAGCATCCAACACCACGAAGGATTGCCTCAAGAAGTCGAGGAGGACTGCAGGAAGAAGAGATGCGTCGACCGATACGACAGTTCCGAATCGTCAGACAGGTACGTCCATTCAAAAAATTAAATACGGCTCAAAGGACCAAGAATTTTTGTAATAATTGGCCCACAATAATGGTCATTGTCATGGTCATATTTTGGTTCTTTGCCCGCTGATTTACTTTTACACGAAACTGTTTTTGTTTTTATTTATTCATCAATGACGAGTAGCTGTGTCCGTAGTCCGAGGATTATTATTGAAGCAATTTGGAGGACAACGAACTGCTCTCATAGAATATTTATAGTAGACGAATTTATACGCTAGGGTTTTTTCTTTCTCATTTATAGTAGGTATGAAATTATTCTTGATTCAAAGATATTTGAAATGTTGCCTAATGAAATACCAATAGTCCATCCCTATCTTTAGCCAATGTAGAGTGAATTTTTCAATTTTTCTGACGTCCTTTTTTCAAAATCATTTAAAATTTCAACTCATTTGGACTTGTAGTTCCACAGATTAAAAAGCCTTAAGAAAAGGGACATATTTATGGTCCTAGTCCTATAAACATCGGGCAAAAACGGAATATCCTAGGGTTTTACAGCCCTATTCCATAAATCATTCACAGTCCTGGTACTTAGAAATAGGAAATTATAGGGTTGCAAGTACCACCACGTTAGCACTCACAATTGAATGCCTCACTTTTTTAAGAAAACTAAGCAGGTGCTTCTAATTTACACTGCTAATAAGCACAGCACACCTCCAAGTATCTACACAAAAGAGAAGAAAACTTCAAATTTCCTGTCTTGAGCAGGAAGAGATGAACAGGACATTTTTCTGAGAAAATTGGGAAAAGAGGTACTCACCCAGGAGGGGATATCCGGCCAGAGCCCCCCCCCAGGCCGCCCCTCAAAACTGTATTTTTACGTTTTAAAAATGTAGCAACATCATGGCGTGGCATCCTGACACCTCAATTTTTTTTTTAGATTTTCATTCACAAGCCACAACCTATGTAGGCCCCCCCCCCAAACATATTTTCTGGGTGCGCTACTGTACCTATCTTGAGAAGTACCACCCATAATAGGTGCTAGAGTTAAAATTTCGTTTAGATGAAACCGGCTATACCTACAGAGTGGTCCATTCAAAAAAAAAATGAAGCGTTTTTGAAAAAAAAAGTTCAAATTAAAAGTCAAAAATTAGTACTACCGTTTTTTTTTTTACCATGCCATCATATAGGTAACTTTTATTGGAACTTTTTTTTCGAGTTTTTTTTTCCAAGAATGTACGCAAGTTGAATAATAGAGACCACTCTGTATAATGAGTATTTTTTTTCATGGGTTGCAGATATTTAATATGTTTCATGCAATATCTACACCAAAATAAGTATCAAAATTACTAATGGCTGTTTGCACCAACCATTTTAAGGAAGGCCCACTGATAAGTATTCCTCAAAGTGACATTTTTACATGCGAAACTGTCATTTTAAGATATACTTATCATTAAGCCTCTCTTGAAACGGTCAGTGAAAACGGCCATAAGTTAATTATCAAAATCAAAATCAAAATTTTATTCACGCATATAGCATTTACAATAGTTAATTAATTATTTCTACAAAAAGTCAAAAAGGACAAAATATACTGTATCAAGGAAAGGTCTGAAACAATCCAAAAAACAAGACACAAGAGGGCGGGATAAAAACAAGACTAATTATCAATTATATAAGACATTCTTAAGTTTAGTCGAAAATCTTCCATAAGATCGGTCAAACATATCTATGTCACATTTAGTTAAAATATCATTTGACAGCTTTGACATTCTACACAATGGAGAATTAATACTATAATTAGTTCTATGAAAATCAACATTAAACAAAATCCGGTGACCCCAGAATCCTATTTCTAACATTTATTGTAATCCTGCAGTCTTCGTTAGACAGTTGCCAAAATAGTCCGAAATCCCGCATTCTTCTTCGCATTCGCAGAAATCACGTTCGCAGTCGCGGAAATCATGTTCGCAGTCGCGAAAATCATGTTCGCAGTATCTAAATTTGTTGTCGCAGCCTCCGAAAGCAATGTGGCAATCGCGCAATCGCAAGTATTTTTTTCGCAATCCCTTCCGCAGTCCTGCAATAATCATTTTGCAGTCCCACAATCTTGGAAATCATTTGGATTTTCATGGCAATCTTCGAAATCTCTTAAATTCTCATGGCAGCCCTGGAAATCGCAATGATTGCCAAGAAATCATAGGATTTCCGCAATACATGTACATTTTTTAGAGGAGTGGTTTGCCCCTCCCCAGAAATCTTGAGAATTTTTGTGTTTCGAATATTGTTTAGTTCCTGTTCGGTGTTTTGTGAATAAAAATACCTAACTGCTAACAAAATAAAAGTACAGATCGTTTCACGAGAGTTCATACTTTTGACATCGAACAAGTCACAACTTGAAAAAAAAGGGTTGTCGTAGATTAATCCATAAGACACATTCAATTTTTTTGACAAATTGAAATGAATGACTTCTGCGGTCCTTATTCTCGAAACAGGGGAGCAGCGTTCTCCTGAGAACGAAGGTTCTGTCTTCGTCAATTATATTCATATTGCCATAACACTGACAAAGACAGAACGTTCGTTCTCATGATAACTCTGTTCCCCAGTTTCGAGAATTAGGACCCTGCAAAAAGTATGAACCCTCATGAAAAAATGTTTACACATCTTCCACTTCTACTGGAAAAAATACAAAATTATGGTAAAATGAGTTTCTAACCTTCTTTGAATGTAGAAAGTTTCAAATTTCTGCCTTTACTAGTTTTCTAGAAAAACTGTGAAATGTGTGAGACTGTATTCTCAATTAATTCAGTTATTGTTAGTCGATTTTCAATATTTTGCATGTTGTTATTTTCCACTTGAAAAATTTGAAATTTTGGGAAATGAGCTCCTAACTTCCCTTTTCACATTCAAAAAGTTTCACAATTTTGCCTCTATGGGTTTTCCAGGAAAACTGTGAAATATGTAAGACTGTATTTTCAAATAATTCTGTTATTTTAAGTTAATTTTTAAGATTTCTCGTTGTTATTTTCCACTGGAAAAATTTATAAATATTGGAAAAATGAGCTTCTAACCTTCCTCTTTACATGTAAAAAGTTTAAAATTTTTCCCTTATCAGTCTTCTGGGAAAACTTTGAAATATGTGAGACTGTATTTTTAATTAATTTAGTTTTTCAAAGCTGATTTCCAAGATTCTTCATGTTGTTATTTTTCACTGGAAAATATTTGAAATTTTGGGAAAATGAACCTCTTACCTTTCCTCTTCACATCCAAAGAGTTTCAAATTTTTCCCCTTCACTAGTTTTCCAGAAAAACTTTGAATTGTGTGAGACTGTCTTCCAATTAATTCAATGTTTGTAGGCTGATTTCTAAGATTCGTCATGTTATTATTTTCCACTGGAAAAATTTGAAATTTTGGGAAAATGACTCGGGAAATGAGCTCCTAATCTTCCTCTTCACATGCAAAAGTTTCAAATTTTTACCTTCACTAGTTTTCCAGGAAAACTTTGAAATGTGCAAGACTGTATTTTCAAATAATTCAGTTTTTGTAGGCTGATTTCCAAAATTCTTCATGTTGTTATTTTCCACTGGAAAAATTTGAAATTATGGGAAAATGAGCTCCTTCCTCTTTACATCCAAAAAGTTTCAAAATTTTTGCTTAATTAGTTTTCCAGGAAAACTTTGAAATGTGTGAATATGTATTTTCAATTAATTCACTTTTTCTTAGTTGATTTCCAAGATTTTTCAGTTGTTATTTTCTTCTGGAAAAATTTGAAGTTTTGGGAAAATGACCTCCTACTGAGCCTCCTACCCTTCCCTTCACATGCAAAAATTAATTTTCCAGGAAAACCGAGAGGAAAACTTTGAATTGTGTAAGACTGTATTTTCCAAGGAGCAAACCACCTAGGAAATCTTTGTCAAATATGTGGGAAATTGAGGTATGGGGAATTCGGAGAAATTTATGGAAAATTTGGAGAAATTTTCAGTAAATTTGGAGAAATTTTCAGTAAATTTGGAGAAATTTGTGAGGAATTAATGAGGAATTTAAAGGAAATTGTAGGGTCATGACGTCATTGAGATTCACATTTTTATTATAAGAAGCACTAATAATTGGAAGTTTTTTAAAAAATCTATTTTTGTGTTGGTTTTTGGACATTTATTTTGATCAAAGAAATTCTACCAAAATTCAAAATAAAGTCAACTAACCTAACCTTGCATTTGATCCTACTTGATAAACTGCGCTTGTGTGTTAACACTAAGGGCCAGTTTATTCACCTTCTGATAAACCGTCAGGTAATCCAATCTGACGGATAAAACGAAATTTGTAATTCCATTGGTTGGCCAGTTATTCCTTGAACAATAGGATTGTGAAATGGGTTATCTTATAGATAGTTACCAGCAAGTTTATCTGAAGATGAATAAACCAAGCCTAAGCAAAATAAAAATTTTAAAAAATAAACTTATCACAAGCAATTATGAAGATTTTCAGGGAATTTGAAAGAGGCATTTGTAGAGAATTTAAAAGGAGTTTGCAGGAATTTGTGGGAATTTGCAGGAAACTTAGACGAATTTGGAGGAATTTTGAGAAATTGTTTGCACAAATTTTGAGAAGGTGGTTTAGCCCTTGATAGAAGTATCACAGTACATGTATATCAGGATTTTTTCTTTTTGAATTTGAATTTGACACGCAAAACTGAAAATATATGTGCTTTTTGAGCCAAAGCAAGCGATAATAAAGGTTGATTGGTCGGTTTCATGTTTCATGTCAAATAATCATTTTATAAACTTCTTAAAAAATTACCTAAAGTTTCTCTTTATCATTTTTGAAAGTAAGAAAGTCTACACATTGCTAGTTATTCGAGGAAAAAAAGGTAGGATCTAAAGTGATCGTTTGATGAGGGTTCAGGGCGTAAGAAACCAGACCATCAAAAAGTAAGCAAAAAATATATAGGTAATAAATTTGAAATTTTATTGAAAAATTAGGTAAAAATCTCTCAGAAATTTTGAAAATTTTCAATTTTTGTTTCA